GTCCTGTGAGGAGCTGTTCTGTTCTGTTCTGTTCTGTTCTGTTCTGTTCTGTTCTGTTCTGTTCTGTTCTGTTCTGTTCTGTTCTGTTCTGTTCTGTTCTGTTCTATTCTATTCTATTCTATTCTATTCTATTCTATTCTATTCTATTCTATTCTATTCAGCTTATTGTCAGTTTCCCAGTTTTTCAGCTTGCTTCTGGAAGCTGTAGTCAATGGGGCAATGTAATATATAATACCTCCTGCAGCAACAAATGTGAATTTACTCCAATCTAAAATATCCTCCATACTACACTGTGTGAAGATACCGTTGTTTCAGTTCCAGGTGGTGTGAAGGCGCAGTTGGAAAGTACAGTTTACCATGGGAGACATTGCTATACTTAATGAAGTCTCCTTTGTTTTTTGCAGCTCTAAAAATGCTGTTTTGTAAATACATCAAGTTACAAACACACACAGAGTACATACATGGAGATTACAGTGCTGTAATAGTGTTCTTTTAATCATTATCACTAATAATAATATGAAGTACATCCTCATGCAGAGAAATGGGGTTTCTTTTGTTAGAGATGAAAACATCTTCACATTGGATCTGGTTTTATTTCTTATTCTCCATTTTCATAAAAGGAAAAAAAAAAAACAAAAAACAAACTAAAACCAAAGCTGAGCAATATGTAGTTATCAATATCTATAGGGTTTGAATGGATTAATTTTTCTTCTGTGATACATATGGAAGACAAAAACCAACAAAGATTGTTATTAATATGGTTTTTTTTGTGTTAACTCAGCTGGAACATCTCTGTAAGACTTTCTGGTCTACTCAGTAGCATTTTGTTTCTCGTCCTTCATTAGCTGATGTCTGCAACCTGTTGGTTTCATCTTTTCTCTATAACAAACATAGTGTATATGTAGATTTTTAACATTTTGTTAACACTTAAAGGAAAGGTGTTAACATCACAGTGATGCATTTATATAATTAAATACAGTGGTTAAGCTTCAGTTATTAGATGGTATGAATATTCTCTAATAATTAAGAAAGGTGTTTTCCTTCAGTGTTTCTTATATCCTGGTTCAGTCATAACATTTTTCTGTTCATTATTCGCTCTCTTAAGTTTCATACAGATGTGCTTAACTCACAGTTCTCTCAGCCTTTAACTACTTAAGAACTGGTAGCACTTGATTGGTTTCCTCTCTGTTTCAAACCTCTTTTACCTTCTTGGTAGCCTAAGATTCTTTCCATTATTTATATGTGCTGTGCTTGCATGTTTGCCTGAAAGAACACTAGTGATATCAATAATTACATTACTAGGTCTAGATGCTTTATGTTGTTATATTTTTGCAGTTTTTCAAAACTTAATTCTGATAGATAAAATCACTTAACTCTTAAGAATAATCGGATACATACACCTCTTACTTAAGCCTGAAGTGCTTATTTTACATTTACTGTTTTTCAGTCTTCCCTAATTTGAGACTTTTGGTACATCCCTGGACATCTCCAGCCATTCTGCCTTTACAGCATGTGCTGGCTATTTATCCTATAGTCTTTTTTCCTGCTTTAAAACTGAGCTTTCATGCCTACTATCTCCTCACAATTTTGTGATTAACCTCTGCAGCAGGACAGCATGCATTAGTAAGCACTCTTCTCACAGCTCATCTGATTTCTCCTATTTGAATATTCAGCGTCTCCCTCTTTGCTTACTAAACATTTAAGTACCTCATTTTCTTCCTATATTCTCTTCATCAGAGTAGACCATCTTAATTGCATCAGGTACAGCCTGGATGTGATATTTTAAGTTTTGCATTATATTGATGGATGTGTTAGCATCCAGCAGGATACCAGGGCTCTTTATTTCCCAATCAGCTTTACAATTACAAATTTACTTCGGTTCTTTTTTGCTTTGCTACCCCCTTCTGCTACTTTCAGGGGTATTGGGGAGTCACACTGGCAAAGGTATCAGTTAATATGAATACTAATTCACACTGTTCACAGTCTTGCACATCTAGATTCTTTATGTGAGGGTTTCAGTCTTACTGCTCCTTTGTATTTTGCAGTCTCTTGATCAGGTCTGGAGATAGTTTTATTCCCAGTAGGCATGCACAAAGACACATGTACACAGAGCCAGTCAATGTCAGATCAACGTGGAGAGCAGAGCAGTGCTTTTACAGGCACCACATACACACTAATAGCACTCACAGATGCCAGATGCCATGTAGCACCTGCACATTGTTCACTAGGCACCTTGATGCATCCATTAACCTTAACCAGCCACGTAACAATCCCAGCTGGCTGGTTAAAAATGCTGTGGCACTCTGCATCCACCTGTGCTATGGGACATGCTGCGCTACTAAATAACTGCGTTAACAGTTGTTACGGCCCCAGACCATCCAGGAATTATCAGGCTCTCCTTTTCTCCTTTAGACACATTCTTCTTTCCCCCCACCCTCCCCGGGCACCTCCCCCCCCCCCCCCCCCCCCCCCAAAATGGCAACTCTCACAGTGACACTGGGCTGCCACACAAACACAAAAAATCACTCTTAATACACGCAGGAAGAGGAACACTTATCATCATGTATACACTACTTTGACCTCTTCAGGTAAAAAGGCAGTATGTCACTCAGGGCCCAGATTCTGTTTGGCCACATGGGCCATCTCTCTTTTTGCTTACTTAAGGCATCTTAATAGCAGCTAGCTCAAGCCTCAAAAATGGAAGCTCCCAGATGAGTCCCCAGTTACCTCATGGGTAACTCTTCCCTCTTTGGATTGCAGGCATGAGAAGTAACTGATTTAAGAGGTTAGTGTTTGTTGGTTCAGCAACACACTACTAAAAACCTAATAATTCAATGACCAATAATTAATAAACACATCATTATTAAATTAGTTATATAATTTTGCACTTGATTACACACAACGACAAAGCTGCCGATTATGACTCTTCAGCCTCACAAATCGCATGCAGCTACTATTGAATTACAATTCTATCACCCTTCCCTCCCCATACTGCTTAGTGCTAGGGTGCAACTCTATCCCTCTTTACTCTGTCCTCCTACACCACACAGCATCCTTGCCCTTGAATTCTTTTAATCACCCTCCTGATTTCCTAGGCAGCCTGCAGCTAGTTACAAGGACTAGTGTTCCAGAGGGACCTCTTGCTTACAATCTACCATCATGAAATCAGGGAGACAAGAGCCCTTCTTAAATAATGAAATAATTACCAATTTTAAATGCTAAAGGAAAAATTACAGTCTGGGTACTACTCTAGTTTTGTAGACACCTAAAGACTACACTGTACATCGTAACCTATCCCTGGTAGAATAATGAAATTAGAGCTGAGTGTTTCCGTGGCAGTGCACTAGTCTGCAGTAACATTTAAAAATGAAGGAAGCAGCAAATAGAAGGCTAACGAATAAGGTGCCTGGAAGGAGCTTGTTACTGGAAGAGACTCTTTAAGGGTTTGTGGCAGGACATTTGAGAAGTTTAAGGCCTTGCTTCCAATTCCACTCATCATCTCTTTTTATAGAAGAATGTAAGACATTAAAATTGCTAGCAACTCAGTCCATGTCCGAAGATGGTCTTTGTACCCTCATTACTGTGTGTTAATTATTTTTCTCCTTTGGCACCCTTGAAGGGAAAACATTACCTTTATTTTGTGTGCATGGGATAGCAGCAGAAAGAGAGCAAGCACTAGCATTAGGTCACACAGAAAATCTGTACTGAAGCCACGAATTGCACTGATGTTCCCAACTCCCAGATCCATTCTTTACTCATGAGATCATGCTTCAGCAATAGTAATCTGTACTGTATGGCTTCCTCCCACCAAATTGTATACATTTGTATTTAAAACTCAATAGTAGATGTGCCAGTTCATTTAAATGCTTGCTTTTCTCCATATGGATCTAATTTGCATTAGGAAGATAAATGGAAAATTCAAATACTCAGGAAGGCTGATACTATTTGAGATGCACTACATATTGCATGTCTTTTCCCTCCTTGCTAAATCTTTTTTCCGTGGTTGTATCTTCAGACCTTTAAACTCAGAACTTAATGTAGAGAATTTATTGGTTTCCAGGTAGTGGTCTGAGGCTCAAACCACTGCAGGTGTGTGGCTAAGAGGTGTTAATTGGGTGATGGATGCACAAAAATTGGGAACACAACTCAATAGTTAAATTAAAGCAAGACTCCAGCTGAATACAGTGGACTTTGGATCAAACCCTGCGGGGAGTTAGGAGGTAATACACATTGCAACAAGTCTGAAAACCCCTCTGCTTCCCCGATTTTCCTATTCACAGACGTATGAAATGAGTTTTCTTTTCCTGATATAGTTGTGTTCAGCCAAGCTGCAACTTTCAGTAAAAAAAGTCAGAATTATTAATGATGTCTGAACTGTTATTGAGAATAATTAGCATTAAAGAGAATAGTAACTTATTCTTAGCAGAAAATATGTGTGTACCTGAGCAATATTTAGCTTTAAAACATTTCTGGAGGTTATCATCAAGACATTTGTTTAAAAACTGTCCACCAAGATGGTTTTGGAAGTCAGCGAAACAGGTAATAATATTGCATACAGAGGCCAGAAGTTCACCAGTCGGGGCATGACTAGCTATGTACACTCAAATTATTACAAAATAAATTAATTTTCTTGTTTCCCATTCTGCTATTATTTTAGAGAGTACCTTCATTTACCTACACTCCAAAGGAGGAGTTTCCTTCCCTTTAACAATATGGGCTGGTACCTAGCTGTTCAGAAACAAGGTGTTTGCCTTGTGAAGGGTGGTAAAAACAGAGATTTGGAGACCTAGTCATGCTGGCTTGTTCAACTTTCACAGGGAATCCTAACACAAAGGTGAAATAAAACCTGAGGGCAGAGATTGAGTGGGAAAGTAGAATGGCTGACTTCTATTGCTGCCTAAGACTGAGACATAAATACATCTGTTAAATCATGAAAGGCAGTGTTATGGACAGTTTTGAAATCTTCAGTAATAAATAAACAGTGTGGTTTATGCTTTCAGAATATGAAATTGAGAGATCATTTTTCCTGAGAATGAAGTGTGTCCTAGCCAAGAGGAATGCAGGATTGACATGCAGTGGCTACAAGGTAATGTATATAAGCTTCCCCCCCCGTCCCTGCCAAGTATTCAACAAGTGACCAGTTTATTTATTTAGGTTTTTTTACGTATGTGTAGCTGAAGGCAAAGTCTATAATGGAAAGAATCAGAACAGATGCAAAAAATGCCACTGCAGATTGCAGATTCCCTTAGTAATGCAAGTCTAGACTCTCTCACAGTGGGCTGGAGTTTGCTTTGTGGGACATTCCCACATCCTGATCCCTGATCTTCCAGATTGGGGAATTGGCTGGAGCACAGCCACGGAGGTGCAAGGAGAGCACACAGCTAGGTCTTATTCCTCTATGGAACTGGAGGCAAGTGAGGCAGGAAACCAGACACAGGAACTTGGAAGTCTTCCCACATCCCTCTTCCTCGGTGTTACCGTGCTCTGGCTGAGCAGCCACCCAGTTGCACAAGTCACCTCATTTGGCCTGACCAGAATTACCGCAACATTAACGAGACCATAATGTTACCCTAAACAATCATTACTATCAACTCAGGGTTGAATTGTACTAAGCCACCAAGTCTGTTTATAAATCTTACAGTTTGTATTAATTTTCTATTTATTACATGAAATCAGAAGCCACAGCAAATGCTGAGATTCTGTAATAACACCTGCCATTCAGGTAGTTCTTATTTTCAGCTTTACAGTGTGCATTTGCTGCTCTTTGAGCTACACAGTATAATTCTATCACTTAAGCATCAGGAGAGGAGGGTACTTCACGTGCAGTCTAGTGAGGATTCATTTTGAGTCATTCAAAAGAAAAGTATGCAAGAGAAGCAGAGCTCTTTTAAGGAATGCGTTCAAGGTCCAGACATATATCTGTCTATTTACACTCCTATCTACCTGGTGAGACTGATAATTCTTCATTACATGGACCCCTGTTTGCTCAGCTGCTTCCCAGCAAAAATGATTCTGTCCCAAAGCTGAATCTGAAATCAGGTAAAAGAGTAGAGCTTGTAGTGGTGGTATCTCTGTATGTTTTGGTTTTGTTTTGGTTTGGTTTTTTTTTTCCCATTTATGACTGCTAATCAGAGGGATCACCTTTCTTCTTTTGCTCACTATTAAAAGTTTACACAGTGAAACATTTAAGGATGTATTCATCTAGAGAGATGTTGGCCTAAATTTATTATCTTTAACTGTATTAGAGTCAGAACTTAATAATTTTGAAAATATCACCTGATTAGCTGAAGCTCAAGAAAAACTCATGAATCAAATAGTATGGGAATTAGTAGGATCTGCTGAGAGATCTTAAATAAGTTTTGCTTGCTACTGTACTTTTGCTAACCACGCTAATCGAAGGAAGGAAGGTTATACAGGAGGAGCCTATTTATAGATGACTGTGTAGTAGGTTGTCCAGGAGTACTAAATACAGTGGAAATTAATTCCTTTCCTTTGAACACAGTTAAAAGTCAAACAAATACAGAAATTAAGCTGAAGGATGTGTAGTATGCCTGCTTTTTGGACTAGAAAATTGGCAGAAGCACAAATGATTTCTAAACCAGCACTACATTGAATAAATCTTATGGTCTGGAATAGTCCCCAGGTTACAATTTCCCCCCTCTTTAGCTGACATTGTGAATTTTTACAGTCTAACACTGAAGTTATCACTCCTGTGATTAGGAATTGTATATGGGGATTCAGGAATCTGGTCTCAAGACCCTGGGCTTGGTCACATGTCGAAAGAATGTCATCTGAACTTGACTGGAGAACTTAAAACTCATTTCTAGTGCATTTACATGCACAGCAGTTAAACATGATGCATTAATTTCCACTGGATTTTTAAAGTGTCTGTTTTTCGTCAGAATAACAACTCATTGAAACATAAATATTTATATATACCTCTGTGTGTGTGTGAGAGTCATTTTAAAAAAAGCAACTTCCAGATTTTTTTATTAATGAACAAGAATTCTGACTGTATCTACAAGAAATCTATATCAAAGAGAATTTAAAGTATTAACTAGAAAGCCATCTAGACAGTCCCCAAAGCGCACGTGCTTTAGTACTGGATTAATCATGTTGAGAGTAAACACAAAACTTGCCTTTACTGTATTTTAATCTCCATTTATAAATTAACCACACTTCTGAAGCCTTAACAGACTATGCAGTATTTAATTGTTATAAGGGTGTATTGCTTTACAAGCTCATTGAAACTGGGTGGTCAGCTGACTTGCAGCCTCTTCCACTGCCATCAGATATTGAGTGTGTTTTCTTCTCATGCCAGGTGATCCATTGCAGTGGCTATTTGAAGATACGGCAGTATATGCTAGATATGTCTTTGTATGATTCCTGTTACCAAATCGTTGGACTGGTGGCTGTAGGTCAATCTTTACCTCCCAGTGCAATCACTGAGATCAAACTTCACAGTAACATGTTTATGTTCAGAGCAAGTTTGGACTTAAAATTAATATTCCTAGATTCCAGGTAAGCAGCTATTTCATTTCTAACATAAAATGTTTTCAAAGTCAAGTGTTATCATAAGCTACCGTGGTGTCCAAACAGATCAAAATATCCATGAAAAAATAAAGCAGTCCAAAATAGATCTGGAACACAAAGACCATGCAGGTCTTCAATGCCCTTCAGGTACCTGGATAGACCATACTTAGTCTTGAAAGCCAACATATAAGAGCCTGTACAATTTACCTACAGTTTCAGAGAGTCACCTAAAGCCTTCTTGCTGTGAGTAATTGGCAGATGAGCAGTAATACATTTTTACCTTAAAGGACATAAATTTTAACATGCAAAGCTAGCAAAAGTAATAAGGATGTGCCATCATCCATAATTTAAAAAAACCACAACTGAAACACTGAGGTCAAATGACTTGCTGGGGTCATCCAGAAAGCTTTTGACAGAGTAGTAAGAAAACACAGTCTTCTGCACTTTAGTGTAACACCTTAACAATGAAACCAGCCCTACTAATGGGGTTGTTAGAATGAAAATTAATTCAGTTGACTACTACATGAAAACATAGGCTTTTTAAACAAAACTTGAGAAAACAGCTATTGCTGAGGAAGGAGAACCCTTACTCTACTCTCAGCTGATATAGCTCACATACCAGCTAAGAGCACAAACCAGAACTGAAGGGGTTGTGAAATGATTCATTCCTCTCTTTTTGAAATATGGTATCTTTTAGTATACAATGATACTTTGTACAGTGCAGTTCAAGATACCTTGAGGGGAAAAAAGCAGTTCCCAGACAATATAACAGATTTGACTATTGACAAGATGATCATTCTTCAAAAATCCCTGCATGTGGAACAGTATGTCACATACTCTCTCGTTTCCCTGGCATGCTGGATTTGCAAGAAGCAGAAGTGATATTCACGTGTAGCAGTGAAAATGAGTCCAAGGCAGTAGAGAAGTTTTGCGTGGCAGGTCAATCATGCAAGAACATGCTCTTTCTCCATGCTAAGTCAATGAGATAGTGGGCCATCAGCTGCTAAAATACAAAGAACTAGTTGTTTCTGGAATCCTTTTTTTTTTTTTTTTTTGGCATGCTTTACTTAATGTAACAGCTACAAAGAAGCACAAGTGGTTCAGCAACATGTCTTTGCATGTGGAAAAAAGGAAATGATGCGCCTAAGAGGAACTGCCTGAAGACATAAGTGTCTTCAAAGGAGACAGTATAACCAGAGGTGTTGACAAGAGCACAGATAGAACCAGTACTGTTGCATAGCTGTGTTTACCAAAGAGCAGATGGGTGTCATCCACACATAGGACAATCAGGGGTATTAAACATTACCAAAGCCCTTTGCTCTCCCAGCTGAGCAAACCGAATTATATTTGCTCAGAGCAGGGATATATTAGGAATAACACAAAACTGCTTTCAGGTTTGCTTCTGATATCCATACAAGGAAAAATGTTGCTAGATCTTTAGAGGTATCAGTCACAGCAGACAGACCAGGATGAAAGCCATAGGAAGGAGCAGTTAAATAAGCCTTTCTAGACACTTGATACAATGTAAAACGTGCAAGAGTTCATTTATCAAGGTCACTGGAAAAAGGAGACAGTTACTTGCCTCCAAAGTGATCTGCTGCTTCTGATTTTCATGGTGCAGCCTAGGCATTTGTTGCTACGTGGTTTACAAAGGCTCTAAAGAACTCTAAGGGGCAGAACTGATCATTGGGGCAAGCTGTTTCCTTCCGTGTGCCCTGTCACATGCAAAGAACAATCTTCAGAGCCCAGGGTCCCTACAGTGGCTTATTGAGGGGTTGGTTTTATGTTAAGCAAGTCAAGCAGCTGAGTTTACGTCCAGATTCAAACTTTTCAAAAGTTTGGGTGTCCTCGTAACTGTTAATGGTGTTTTTCCGGCCCATGGGAAGACCAGCTTCAAAGTGAGGCTGCACCTCCAGAAAAAATAACACCTGGCTTAGGTTTGTGGCATTTAGTTTGTTTTCGGTTTAGCTGTTTCTATACTCGCCAGTTAAGTGAGCAGGATGAAACTGCCACTCTTGTTTTAATTGCACTGAAGTTAGAAGGAGCACTGAAACCTGAACAGGATCTTTCACCAGTATTTCACCATGCTGATAGGCTTAAGTGAGAATTTGGGCCCCTAGAATTGCAAGCCAGGAGGGACAGTGCACACTGCAAAGGAGAAACACAAGCATATATTCACATATCCTCCTGCAGAAAGAGAACACGTGCCACTCCACGTTGGCAGTCCCTGACTGAGGCAAAGGCATGCAAGAGTTTCCCAGATGAAGGCATAGCTAGGGGAGGTATGGATGTATTTGTACTGTACTTATAATAAATCAGATCCCAAAGGCATTTTTTTTGATGTTTTTCTGATTTCCTTCAGAAGAATCCCACCCCCCAACACTCTCTCTCACGTAGAATGTAAAGTCCCCAGTCTCTGTGGGGTCCACATGATTGCTTAGTGTTAGGGTAAGAGTAAAGAAGATGCATAATAGTTACAAAAGAAAAAAAAAGTAATCAAAGTTTATGTTACCTGCAACCTCTCAATGACACAAGTTTCTTGAGACCCCTGTATTCATTTTTGTAGATAGTACTGTGTTATTCTCTGATACAGTGTATCCTTATTAGTGTTTAAGTTCAGACCAGAAGCATCCTTTTGAACGTCCTGACTGTCCTCACTCATTGCACTGCAGTACGTGTCATGAAGAGGCCTTAGGAATGTGAACTGGATTCCTTCTAGATGAATCTAAACTGGAAGACAACCTCCAAGAGCATGTCTAAGGCACTCCAACTGTTATAAAGCTTTCAGTCCACAGGCCTAGATTAGAGCTAGTCCCAAGTAAATGTCCTGAAGTTAAAATATACAGATGCATCTGCTGCTGCAGAAGTAGATCCTCAGCAGTAATAATTTTACTCTACAGATCACCTGCTAATGGACTGTGTTGCTTGTTAATGTAGATGTACCTTTGTACGGTACCTCTGTTCTGCCTTTTTAGCTGAAGAAAGCCCAGGACAGTGTAAAACACCCGCAGCAACACTAGTTAAACAAGCCACATTGTGGCTGAGTTGCACAATGTACTTTAAGGATTTTTGTTCTCAAGCAACTATGCTGAACAGACAAAAGTCCATTTTGAACCATGCAGTTTGACTCTTCAGGTCTGACTGAGTGTAAGTCTGACGAGCGTAGCCTGCTTCCTTAACATCTGCAGAGATGCTGCTGTTTCACATTTGTTCCATTATTCTACTTCTTATCATGTGAGGATGTTTTTCTGAAGTCTAGCTTCAGCCTTCCTTTTCTTAGCTTGTGATCTTCATAGCTCCTTGTCTTTCCACATTCTCAGCTGGAATAAGCTCCTGCTTCCTTCTTCTGTTAGGCGTTAGCCTGAATTTATTTATAGACCATGATCACAGCTTCTATGGACTGACATCCATGCTACACTTGTATGTTTGCAAAAGCAGATGAAAACGTGTCAGCGGTCCACAAGAGTAGTTTTATGATTTCATTAATGGCTCCTCAACTAGATCTTTGTGCAAAGGATCATGCATGGCAGTGGCAAAAGCCCAAAGTGGAAATAAGTAAAAGAACTCTTTTTCCTGCCTATGTGTAAGGCTGGCCAGGGAGTATCCAACCTTGCTTTGGCTGGGTTGAGAGACTTTATTTTCTTATAAAGATGAGATGTCTGTTTCCAAAACTAACATTTTGGCCTGCATTTTTTAGGCACCTAATTTGTTGGCACAATCAAATATTAGGTTAATGAAACTTAATATTCCTAGAGATTTTGTTTATTTTGGGATCTTCCTTTTCCAGGGTGACTGAATTAACTGGATATGAGCCCCAGGATCTGATAGAAAAAACCCTCTACCACCATGTTCATGGCTGTGATGTGTTCCATTTACGATATGCTCATCATCTGCGTAAGTAAAAAGAATGCTAGACTGAAATTTATTAAGTAGAGTGAGAAGTTTTGCAGACAACAGGCGCTATGCTGGAAAGTAGAGAAAGCTTTCCAAATCTTGACTGGAGCTAGATTTTCAAAAGTGCTTGGCTATCACTTAAGGAAACCATTAGTTCTGCAAATAAGCTAGATACTCAATATGTTGTGCTTCTGAAAAAAACATATCTGGCTACTTTTATCTTTCTACTTGAAGGATCTAGGCTCTTTTGAAAATTTGGACTTGATTCTGGGTGGTGAACTCTTGAAGGAAAAAAACCAAAAGAGCAAGTGAACGAGTGAGAGAAAAAAATCTGAACTTTACTATCCTCTGTTATTAAAAGAAAAATTACGCAACAGCTCCCCATTCCTCTGAAATATGTTAGTAATAATCATCCCATGTTTGAAGTGAATGCAAACCCGAAAAATCCTCAGATATATCATGTGGATGAGGTTTGGAGAATGGAGTGTCAGGAAAAAAAATTACACATTTAATAATTCCCCATCTGCCAACAGAGACACTAATCATATCTTCAAACATCTGGATTTGGGAAGTAGTTCATTCGGTAGCACATTAATTTGAGAAGCAAATTGAGGGAATAGCTGAACTCTGGATTTGGCTCAGTCTGCCGCAGCCCATACGATGCAAAGATGACATCCAAAAACCAATGTCAGTGAATTTTTTTCCAGATTGCTCCTGTGGGCTGAAAGCAGCCAGATTCAAATCCTTCTCTTAGGCTTCCTGAAGGAGAAAGTAGTCAGTTCTTCACCTTAATATGTGCTGTTCATGAGAACGTGGAATATAAAGGAGGATGTATCTGTATTTGGCAAGTCAGTGCTGAAATTCCAAGTGCCGAATTCTGTTGACGGCAGTGTGTGCTGCACCTGGGAAGGCAGAAACCGATCTTTACAGCAAGCTCATATTTACCAAAACACCACTGAATACTCTGGGCCATTGCAAACTAAAAACTAGAATGACCAAGGTAGATGGTAATGTCCTGTTGGGGGCATCCTCTTTGTAATGTTAACGCCTGCATCTGGATGTGACTGTTGACCTGTACAAAATATCACTCATTATTTTCACAAGACTGTTTGAAATACCTATGTCAACCAGTATAGAGATGATTCCATTATAGCCACCATCACCTCTGGAAAACAGTTTTCCATTTTAGAGCAAAGTGATGGATAATTCTGTGTGTGCAGTAGAAGACTTGTACTTTGGCTGCCAGTTTGATCTATGTATGACTGGAGTTTTAAATAAAGAGACATATCATGTTTACTGAATTAAACCCCCTCCCCCCCCCCAAGAAAAAAAAACTCAACCAAACAGAATAACTAAAAGCAGTTCTCTAGATACCGTATTTGAACTACAAAGATAAATTATTGTCAAGTTTAAAAACAGAAGAAAAATGCAAGACACATGCCTAGAAATTTATGAAAGTTTCAAAGCAAATAAATGCCAAGAAGCAAAAAATAATGACTAATGCTTGGGCAACAGTGGGAACAGTGCAGAATCACAGTCAGAATACCAAGTAATAGGAATTATTAAAACAGATGTAAAGTGTACAGACTTCCTCTGGGGAGCACTGTTATAACTCCCCCACCATCCATCAGTAAATGTCTTAAGAACATGAACAGTAAAAGGTTGGCAAGTTTGACGTACCATTCTATAAAGCAATTTGATGATTAAGTGTCATCTGATGAAGAAATCTGGAGAGAAACATCTTACACCTAATAAGGGTATAAAGAAAAAAAAAGGCAATCCTAAGCTAGGGTAACCAATTGCTTTTTCAAAGAGGAAAAAAAATTCCCAAACTGAAGACCAAAAGCAACTGAACTTTAAGTTAGGCAGCACAGAGAACAAAACAAAGGAAACAGTGAGGGGAACAAGTTAGAAGGGATATAACAAGAACACCAGAGTATGAGGAAAATGTCGATGTGAATATTTGCCTAAGGTGTGCTGGCAGCAAACGGTGTTTCCTGTTTTAAACATTTGATTAGCTTCCAGCTATATGAAACAGCTTCTGGTGTTTGAACTAGTGTTGTTTATTTCTATAGCACCACCAATATACACAGTGTTTACTCTGCAATTGGGGAAATGTGGCCACACAAATAATAAGTCCCTACCTAAGTATCTTGCATTCTAAAAGACGGGGTAGAGAAACTGTTCCAGTACAGACAAAATATTCCTCTGTTCCAGTACAGACAAAATACTTTTCTGGCCTCAGAGAAATCACTTCCTTTGTACCATTGTCTCTCTGTGAGGAGGATTTTGTGCATCCACATGTTGTAACATCATTGCTCTTCCCACATAAACTTTTACAAAAGTCACGTCTGTGCCTTGGCAAGGCAAGCCCCAGCTGATGTCATCACCACACTGTTCTACCCCTTCCTGGAAGTCAACCTATGTATTTATAGAACCTGTCTTATAGCAGAGCACAGTTTACACTCTGTCCATGGCATTGAGTCTACTTTTGCTCCCCCAGCAATCAAGCCTTCTGGCAGAGCTGCACTAGTTTTTAAGAGGGCAAAAGAACTGTAGAGTCTGCTAGGGCACCATCCATGGACCACGCTGCTCGAGGGCTGGACCGATGACATGCCAGGTTGTGTGCACCAGGGAAGCTAAAACAATAACTGCTGCAAGTGAGGAACCAAGAAGTCCATTTCTCTTAGCGGTATCCTTAAGTGCAGGCTAGGAACTCCCAGCCACATGCCTGTGAGCCTTCTGGAGCCTTTTAAAATAGCCATCTATGACAGACCAGAAGGACCAGCCCAGCCAGCCCAGTGCCTTTTTCAGCTTGCCTGCTAAACCAGGAGGGAACCACAACAGCGGAACACCCAGTTACAAATGGCACATCTAAAAGCCAAGACTAAAGCCACTGAATCCTCCCCATTTGACTGCAGCGGAGGCCACCAAGAAGTCTGAGCCTGCACAGATTCTCTTGGTAGTGGATTTACCTCACTCCTATTTCTGAGGTTTCCCAATCAGCATCAAACAGGATAATTTAACACAGAGCCAAATGGAAATTGACCTCATTTACTGTATCGGAAGTGCAGCTACTGTCCCCTAGCCAAGGTCAGACTTTCTCCAGATTGCTAAAAATGCAGGAGACACGGAGTCCTCCCCTGTCCCAGGAGAAATATTGGTTTATCCATATAACTAGGAAGGAAAGCTGACCACTGTAGTCCTCAGTGGTTTTCACATCTTTTAAAATACTGTCTTAACTGAAGAGCTAAAACAGGGATTTAAAAAAAAAATCAGTGGGAGAGAGAGAGAAAGTCAAAACTAGTCCCAAAGCACACGGAAGACCTTTGTTATAGCTAGTGATCCATTACAACATTAATTTCTATTTTGGAAGACTGAGTAGCAAAGCATTTTGAATTCAAGGAAAACCTGACCATTAAACTAGCACGAAATCTTAGTTCTGAAAAGCCTAGACCACATTACAAAAAATATCTGTGAGATGATCTAGGCCAAAATGTAAGCATCATTTCCTGGAACTGGACCATTTGGATTATAGAACACCAAGAAACACAGTGATTCCATGGCATATAGCTGATTATTAACAAATATTTTTATGACAGACTTATTTGGCATTGTTACACTGAATCTTTGAGTAGCAGCTACAAGACCTTTACCTTGGAGCGATATGTTGCACTTAAAGAGTACATATGCCTTTATATTTTGTAGGTGTGTTTACATACTTACACACATATTCCTCATGATTTTCTTAAATATCTGTACATATGCGCACCTCCACCCCATAAAGTATTCTATATAGAAACGTAGGTGTGAAAAAGGACACCAGCAAGTACGAGGCAAAAAGCTGATACCTAAGAGAGACTTCAAACTCTAAACAGTAGTGACTTGGTGTCAGCGAGGATGGGTTTTTGAGTGTCCTGCAAGATGTTGTTTATCTTGTTGCTTTCTGAACAAATGGATCCCATATCCTGTAATGGAAGGAGAACTGACACTTCCAGAAAGACCTGTCTATAGTCATTTTCTAAGAGCCTGATTTTCTTAGGGAGATGAACTGGATTTGAAGAAAAGTTTAAATATGTTGTGACGTGTGCAAATGAATAGGAGAGTAAGCAGTCCGGAGAGATGGCCTACATGCTAGAGCACCTTTTAGCAAGAACAAGAACTCCTGCTCTTCTATTTCTGTCAGTCTTACATTGGGCTATTCACATTATTCACATTATTGCAGTCTCTGCTAACTATTGAACTCACAAACTTCTAATTCCCCAAGTAACAACTGAACAAAAAAAGCCAATCCCAGTGATGACTGATAGCTGTATAGTTAATGACCAAACAGTAAACAAACCCCCAAAGGTTATGCACTCCTTAGTTCCCGATTTAGCATTGGATGTCCTCCCTATCAGAAAAATCTTCTATGAATCCTAATTATAAGGCCATATATTTTAATTTCAAGTGGTCATTTGCTCTACTAGAGTTGGCTGAAAGAGAAAGCTGTTGTTTTATTTCCTTATTATGTATCTGCTTCTGCACCAAGCATGTACAAAATTACAGTGAGCTTTGCTACTAAGTTCAGTCTAGTACAAGCCCTGCCTTTGCAAGCAGTAATTCCATTTCTTAATCATGTATTATATAAAGGAATTGCTTCTATTGATCACTCCTTTTGGACATAGTTTGTGTAGCAAGCTCAGTCCCTTATTTCCTAATTTAACATAAATAACTGATTGTATGGAAGAGTAAGAAGATGGAATTTCCTAGAGGAATGCTCCAGGGTCACACAAGAGAAGAACCACCTTCTAAGGTTGGGCATTATCTTCCCTTGAATCATTAGATAAATGCCTGGCACTGAACCATAAATATTTGTGGCTAGATTAAATATTTAGAGATGCTGCACAACTCCTATTATAGCATAGCCTTATGCCAAAACTTCTTTGTTCACACAGAATCCAAACGGGTGTATAGAGGATTACACTTCCAGTGAAATCTACCAGATAACTGATTCACCTCTCTGGCCTTGTCTTTATTTGTGTGCTTTAGAACCAAATAGCATTTTAATTTTCCTCTTTTAAATCAACCTTCAAAATGTAGAGCATAAAATACATTGCAAAATACACAATGATCTATTAAGCTATGAACGACAAAAGTGCTTCCAAATATCCTGGAAAAATTCAAGCTAGTTATGTCTGCTTCAAAATACTTTTGTTGCCTTGAACTTTTCTTTTTCAGCTAGAAGGTTAGAAACAGTAAGCGTTTTTGCAGAATGTAAGCATAAGAGAGCAGGGTGAACTGGAAAAGAAGGAAGACAAACTCTAATAGTTTGCAACATACTATTTGTAAACAATACTGTGACCTTGTGAACCTGTGTAAAGGGGCAGGACAGATACCTTTGCAGGGGAGCTATTTAAAGTTTGGTGGGAGAAGGAGGTTTAAAGGAGGGGGAGGAGGGAGAGAAGTCCCTGCCTTGCAAATAAATGTCTCCAGGAAGTGCTCACAGGTACAAGCAATGTGAAATGCTTTTTTGTATTGTATTCACAGTGTTGGTGAAAGGCCAAGTCACAACCAAGTACTACCGACTACTGTCCAAGCATGGAGGCTGGGTTTGGGTACAGAGCTACGCTACTATTGTGCATAACAGCCGTTCATCACGGCCTCACTGCATAGTGAGTGTCAATTATGTCCTTACGTAAGTCAAAATACTTTGTACCATTACGTGTTATCAGTAATTGATTCATTTTGTGTGTTATCAGTAATTGATTCATTACTAATTAAATCCTTTAAGTTTGCTTTACTCGTGTCTTCCAGTATCATTCTGTGCTTGCATGTTACAGACACTTTTCTCTCCTTATATTCTCCCTCTTTTACTTACATTGAGCTAAAAAGAGCTAGCATTCCTGATGATTACCTCATACACCATATGCTTGAATGTAATACCACTTGTAGCCATTTGCATTAAACCTGGACCCCAGCTCTGTAATTAGCATCAGAACTGCGCTGGGGCTGTCCAGACACAGTGAAAGCTGCTGCTACCCAGCAGAGGTCACAGAGTCAGTTTGCGGGACAGAGACATGGTAGGAAGCGTTACTCCTACCAGGGACAGGTGAATCATCGAGGATTCCCGTGCTTGCCTTGGGTTGCACAGATACTCAGGGCAAACCTACATTCTCACAATGGCAAGTATCTCCCACTGAGCTGGTGAACGTACAGCGGTTTGGGTCTCCAGTTTATGAATTCAGTTCAAGTCACAAAGGTGTTACAAAATTCCTATCTTGATATAAACCTGAGAGAGACAAAAATCTATATAGATAAGAGGGATAAGTACCAGTGAAACAGGCTGTGACTGAACAGACTATCTGTGGGGAAAAGAAAAAAAAAAGGGACAGTGGGGACCCCTTGCATTGAGTAGTGTAAAAAAGCAGGGAACTATACACTCTTTTCTTTTGTCTAGACTGGTCCATTTCTTGTCTGGCTTGAAAGTAAGCTGTGTTTGCATGATGTGTGTGGTAGGATGATGTGTGTTTGCATATTACAATGTTGTCTCTGATAGCTGACTTTGGGGAGTTAAAGTGTATGAGTTGAGAAACCATAGGGTGTTTCCTTAAGCTACTTGAAGTAGGTACTCGGCTCCAGACACACTGGCTAATGCTGCCCTCTTTCCTGTACAGATGTGAGAGCCAGCAGTATGAGGGAAAGACTCAGCCCTGCAACCTCCTTGACTCCCATGAGTTGGGGCAAGTGATTTGAGTAAAAAGGAGGAAACTGTGCCAGGGATATATCAGCATATTCTTGAGGTGAATTTACTCCCAGGTTATTCACCATCAAAAAGTGATGGAAATGAGTTCCAGCTAGGAATTGAGAGATAAGTAGGTTTTTTCTCTAGTTATCCTTTCAAAAATATGCTCCGCTGTTGCTACTGATAAAACCAGGGGAGACCATTTAATCATCAGGACTGTATCAATTAATGTTTCAAAATATGATCCACAGTCTGTTCTTGATTTGTTTTTTAACCTCTTTTATACAGAAATCTGCCCTGTCTGTGGGACAGGTAAAACTGAATAGAACAGAGCAGAAATGAAAGACTAGAGATTGTCAGAAAAACAGCATTGCAGCTCCTGTGGTCTAGTTACAAGCACTTTGCGCTGACAGGAGAGGAACATTGCTCTTTTTCCTTTCCTCAGGGCTAATTGTGAGAGCCAGGGCAGAGACCAATTCCTGATTGAGGAGGAGGCAGATGAATTGAGCTGTGTCTTTCTATCAACTGACATGGATGGCTGGGATTCCAAACTACAGGGTGCCACGGATGGCTGAGAAGTTGGCACAGCTTAGGTTCAGAGAGCGGGCACATTTAGTACAAAGATGTTAACGCGGTTCCCAGTGGAAGGTTTGTGATTGATAGACTTGCATGGGGATGGGGTCAGATCATAAGATCCACTGCCTGCTGACATCCCCAGACTCACACTGCAGAGTCAGTGAAAATCTTGGAAGAATTAAAATGAAAACATTGTGAAAGCTAACATGTATTTTCAAAGGAGCTATTTTGGATTTGCGCGGTATGGTTGAGCATGTAATTTATTGGACTGTTCTTTTGCAGAGATATTGAGTATAAGGAACTTCAGTTGTCACTGGACCAGGTTACCATTTCTAAGTCACAGTTTTCATGCAGAAACTCAGTATCTACCTCGCAGGAAACAAGGAAAATAGTAAAACCCAAAAGTAATAAAATGAAGGCAAAACTCAGAACAACGCCTTACCCACAACAGGTAACTTTTGTAGCAATATTTACTTACCAATTGTTGTGGTAGAACGCTTGGGACAAGGTAGAGATCATCCAGAACTGAACTTACTGTAAAACTGACTACAGTATGCTCTGCCACAGGAACTCCCTTGTAGGCTGGAATACAATTAGACCCTTTTGTTCTTGGGATGGACAGCACAAGTAGTACAAAGCAACTCTAGCGAGTGATGCACACACAAAAACTTTTGGATTTGGAGTATATAAAGTACTTCAAAACCAATCTGCTTTCTTGGTAAAAAGAAGAAAAACATGTACTAAGAACAGCTGTGTTGTGAAGATTTGTGCTGGTGTAGAACGCATCTCATTCACTGTTGATAGACTGACTTCTTAATGTCACGTAGGTATTAGCAGTTTCCTTATGTTGGAGAATGCATCATGAGAATTAATCCTAGCAAACAGAGCACTGGAGTGGGATTTGGAATATCTCTCACTGTCACTGGGTGAGCTAGAACCAGATGTGAAAGGAAAGTATGGAGACTGTCCATAAAACTGGGTTGGTGAGACTGACACCCACCATGAGACATTCTGAGATTTTGCAATGCTGGAAGGGGCTACTATTACCTTAAACCAGCAGTGAATGCAGCTACATTCAACACAGTGAGAGCGCAAAAAGCATTTGGAGTCTGGAGAGGGGGGTGGGAGAGAGTGGGAAGAGAAAATCATTGTGATAGAAGCTGATGCAAAGGACAGATTTTGTGTTCCTACCATTCTAAAGCTTGACATGCCAACACACGCAAAATCACGTTCATGGTCTGCTACTCCATTTACCAGTGACTTCCAGTGCTTTGCAACGAACTTCTGCCCTCTGGTATTTGCAAATGCCTACACTTACTAGCTAAAATCCAACAAGCAAAATTATCAAATAAACCCTTAACATTAGGATGACAAAATAGTTTTTTGTTTGCGTGAAGGTAAAGTTATTGTGAAGATAAGGAACTTTAAATGCACTGGTAAGCCAGTCCCTTTAGCCAGTGAGATCACAGTTCAAGGAGGTCCAGCCTTGGGCTCCTGTATGATATGTTACGCGGTTTCATATAGAAGTTAGTCATTTAACTCTCTTCCCCTCCTTTTTTTTTTTTCTTTCCCTCAGCAATACAGCTCATTCCAAACAGACAAACTGGAATGCAGCCAGGTGGGAAACTGGCGATCCAGCCCTGCAGTGAACTCTGCCACCATTCAAGAACAAAACTTCCATTCAGAAAACAGTGAACTTTTATATGCCCCGTCATATAGCTTGCCTTTCTCTTACCATTATGGACACTTCCCTGTAGATTCTCATGTCTTCAGTAGCAAAAAGCAAATGCTACCTTCAAAGTTTGGGCAGTCTCAAGGAGCACCTTGTGAAGTGGCTCGATTTTTCTTGAGTACGCTGCAGACAAATGGAGAATGCCAGTGGCATTATGCCAACTCCTTGGTACCCAACAGCCAGTCACCATCCAAAAATCTTCCTGATCAGCCAGTGAACATCATCCGACATAATCTTGCACAGAGTTATGAAGGTGGGTGTCACTTTAAAAAAAGAAAAAAAGAAAAGCAAAGCTGCGGGGTGTCTGGGAAAGATTTGTAATTGTAGTTTGAAAACAGGAATTACAAGGTGTTTAGGAAATACAGAAAATCAGAAACAGTGAAGTGTAACTGCCGCTGTGCTTATAGTATTTACATGGTCATCCCTCTTCCCATTACCATAAGCACTTGATTAGGAATATTATCAAAGTGTCAGTTATAAAAATGTATTCAACAGAATCACTTTTAGAACAGGGCAGAGATACTACCTCCTTTAACACTGGCACAGTTTACCTTCATGTTTTGCACTATCAGAGTTATTTAGTGGAATTCCTCAGGTAAGTCACTCCCAAAGTCAGAAAGAAACAAATGTACTTCAGCTGACATACAGAAATTAAAATAAACACAATCTATTTCCATAAAAATTGAAGGTTGTGCTTTCTGAGTGTCAAGCCATTCTGAATGTCTTTACCTTACAGTGAATGAGCAAATGAAATGCAGTCTTCTGCTTAATTTAAAAATGTCTTCAGTGCTCCTCCGCAACCAACGGCATCATCTCTCTGTACAGACGGTCAGCTCAAATACTTTGAAGGAAGCACTGAAGACATCGACTTCCCTGAGGTGGCAACCTATAAGAAATAACCTTGCAAAGCTATAAAGCAACTAAATGGAAACAAGCTCAAGACACACTCTAATCCTTAGATCTCATATACATTACATCTATCTGCATGCACCATTTTGATTAGTTAAAAATCACTGGCGAGGACTGACTGGTTGACATATTGTTATGAAGTTAGATAGAAACGCTCCTTTCTTCTAGCTTCATTAAGGATGGGACGGAGGAAGCAGTACTGGAAATCTAAAATAAAAAGGCTAGAAAAGATAGGCTCAAGATTCTTGAGTACCAGAAACAAGCATTTATTCTCTTAGGGACATGACATTAGATATCCTAGATCTGAAGGGAATACCTGCATATATTAAAAGCTGAGCTTGCTACGTCAGACAGAAGACAGTATCAGACACTGAATGTGTCTTCCAGAGGCGCAAATAACTTCTGCCCAGGGTTTTGTACTTCACAGGACCGTTTGATCTCACCTAGCTGATTGACCTCACCTAGCTGACCTAAGCATTTTATTTTACGGTTCTGTGTTTAGGTTGGAAATGAGCAAGACTGAAGCTCTTCTTACAGCCTAGTGCAGGTTAAATGCTTTTTCTGAGCTCATGCTCCTCTAATGTGCTGGCTTCCTTTTGTTGCCGTTGTGGACTGGGTGTGAAAAGGATAAAAAATAAGAAATGGTTGTATCCTTTCTAAAGATGCTGTATCTTTGTGGAGAAGAAATAAAAGCTACATCTTTTGAGGATAAGTATAAGGATTGAGGTAAATCTTGCAGATCCCCAGTAAGTCTGCAGGAACAAAACTATTCTAGGTGTACAGAAGTCAGTCCAGCTTTTCTCCTCTGCTTCCAGACTAACAGATGCCATGAGACTGACTGAGAAAGTAGATCCGCCCCTTGCTGGTCAGAGGGTGCCATCAGATACACTGAGAATGGATGTGGAAAGAACAGCCTGTTCAGAGAACAGCCTGCAAAACTGATCGTGGCCATAACATTTGCCAGAAAAGCCCAGTGAGCATAGCAGCAGACAAGCAATTTACCATCGGTCGGTTGATATGGGCAGATAACTCCTAGTAAATATATTGTCAGAAGGATTCCACAGGAATACTGTTAAATATGTTAGGGGAAAAAAAATCCCAACAAAAAACTGCAAGCAACTGCTGGTATTTTTCAATTGCATCATGCATGCATACCTTCACCATTTCCTCATGAACTGGAAAACGGAGCTGTGGTACCAGCGGTTCTTACTTCTGGTTCTACATCTACTTAAGATTTTATTGCTTAAGCTGGAATATGTGGGTTCTCTTTCGAGCACAGATGTATTTTAACGGATGTTTAGCTATTGGGCATTTAATGAAAACTGACTTGGTACAATTAATTTTCTGCAAAAGCACTTACAGTTGTACTGTTTAGGAAGGAGAAAAGAATATGGTCAAACTCAGGCCTGGTCAGAGATCATTGCTTGAGGTCACACACAGTGTTATGAGAGGGGAAAGAAAAACGGAGCCTCCACTGCAAAGAGGATTTATATCTGATTGTTACAGAGTTTGTTTCCTCCTGAGGTAGAATTGTTGTACTTTTGCTGAGGCTGGTGGCAGAAAAGAAATCTGAACCTTTGGAAGCAACTTTTTGCTTTGAATTGAAAGGGGCATCTGATCTTCCTTACATTGTCAACTGCTGCTTTTTCCAGCGGTTCGCTGAAAAACTGACAGCCAGTAAGCTTCAAAGCAGAGAGGATCTGCTTAGCATCATTATCTTCAATCCAAAGGCAATGCCAAATATGACATCTGGCAACCGGGTTGGATGCAAGGGCTATTCCACATCACATCCATAGAAGCATCTGCCAAAAATGCCGTAGGCCAGAGACATTTTTCTCTATGGAAAATAGCTTCTTTTGGAGAGATCAGAGATTTTAAGATGATCATGCCAAGCCATCAAAGCTCTGGAAAAGCACGTAGCAGATAAAACTGCCTGCAAATCAGATGCTGCTGCCTCAGAATCTGGTTTTGAAGCTTCTTCCACTTTTTTCCAGCTGGCCTAGTCATCAGAAAAGAAACTCACTTCAGAGAAGGCAACCATATTCTTAGTCAGAGAAGCTTCCTTTGCATGCTTGAACGGCTACCTTACTTCCGTGGGTACCACAGCACCCACTTCTCAGTAAGTTACGCTGTTGGCCAGTCTGTACTATCTGCGTGAAGCTTAGTGCCACTAATCATGCCAAAACTCTGGGAATGATGAAGAATACTAAGAAAATCTGTGAAAAAACTGTCGTCTATTTTCCTCCCCCAAACGAACTCCCCAGGTTTCACCTGAGACTACTGGACAAAATACACGACATCTTCTTTGAAAAGTGTATTCCACTAGAGACAAAGAGGGCTTGAAGATCGTGTCGTCTTACTATTGTTTTTGGAGGAAGAATAATGGAGAACATAGTAGTTACAACATCAGCCCATGCCTCAGATGATTTGCAATTAGGGTTCAGACCAGGACACAGCACAGATATTGAGCTAATCTAAAAAATATCTTTTTCACGGACATGGATGTTATTAAGACTTGTTGTATCTTTGCCTTGTTTGACACGGAGGAATATCAGCATGCCTTTGTGACACAGGAGTGCGTGACCTGAGCAGTACAGCAGCTCTGCTTGTTGGTCTTCAGCAAAACTCAGAGCGATTGAGTAATTGCTCCTCTTCTCTGAAGGCCCTCTTGTACAAAGGATTAGGAAACATACTGAAACATCATGGGCTACATGCCAGCATCCAAGTGTCTTTTCAAAACATACAGTAACTGTCAGGAGTACACTCTTCTGAGATTAGTGTAGATCAGAAAGCCCAAGAAAAATTATGCAAGACAAAGCATGCATGAAGAGGGCTTCAGCTGTGTCCTAAAACCAGACCAGGTTTTTCACAGACAGGATGCAAGACTCTGTTGATAAGGACTGCATACCTTTTGCAAGAAGATCAATGCTAAGTACCAGTCTTTCCTCGCTTTAACCTGTTTCCAAGATGCCTTTCTTTCATTTTTACTGGAATAGACGGGGCAACAAGAGAACAAGGAGCAGCTCTACCTATTAATGTCTTGATACAGAAAGGCATGTCTATGAATGAAATACCTTTTCTGCAAGCATCTTTCCCCATTGAGCACCATCCGACTGCACTATTTAAAGGTGAGGAGGGAATGCTCCTCACTGCAGCGCTATGTTTGACAGGGGAAAGATCGCTCCAGTATACTGTAACTATGAATAGACATGATATGTTTTAAACAAAGGCCAGTACCTGCTAGAGTCGCCTTCCTGTTCCCACTTGGATGGCTGGATGCTGAAATCTGAGCAGGCTGCCAGGTGATGGGGCTCTTCTCTCCAGGTTTTCCTTCAACTTGCCTGATCTGCACCCCATGCGCCAGCAGGAAAGCAGAGCTACTTGGCAAGAATTAACAGAGACATGATGCCCGAAGGACTGAGTTCACTGTTGCAGTTGTAGGCAGCTATGAATGGAAGCAGTGTAAGTAGGTATAAAGGGCCTTCTAGAAAGCTGCTATCACTCCGGTATGATGTACAAACATAGATGTGCAGTGTATCTACCTCACTTGGCATAGCTGAGTTGCTCTGGCGGAAGAGTGGTCCGGAAAGCAGCCCAAATTAATGCACTGACTTCAACGGCTGTAAAGTCTTTTCAGCACTGGAGAAGTGCAGAATGCATGGGACCCCCTGCACCTGCTGAGGCAGGTACGCTGGCAACCGCCCACACCCCAGATGGGTGGGAGCAATGCTGGGGTGCTGCCCTTCTACAGCAACACAAAGCAGCTGGTCAGCTTTCTATTAAAAGCTCTGTATGAACCCCGCCCGCCCCAGGAGGAGTCTGTCCCAGGGCATCCTTGCGTTTTTGTCTGCAAAGGAAGACAAAAGCAGGTTTAAGTCTAGCTCCAGTAACTGTTCTGAGTGTGAGCGGACAAAAACGACTGTGCTCTGTTGCACTGCAGACACGACTTGCTTATCTGTCTGGTCTAACTCCATGAATGTGCTGACAACTTTAATGGAAGCCTGCAAACAATTAACCAGATGCTTACCTTCTTCTCAACAAAAGAGATGAAAACCATGTTTGAGAAACAGGATAGAACAGAATGGATAATATCCTGTAAATCTCCCAAGTATGCAAACTACTTCTTGGTACCAAGAAGGCAGCCATCAGCCCAGCAGAATTTGAGATTACAAACATGATGATAACAAGACGGGGGCCAAGTGGTTGCTGTGATGCTTCAGCTTCTTACAAGCGTGGGCTCTAAAAACGGAAAAGGAAAATCTTTTATTCAGAGATTAGAGTACAGCCATCAAGTGACAATAGTCCATGCTGCAGTAAGAGAACAAACCCATCACTCCTGTGGGTGTCTCAAGTCTGAAAAACACTAAAACCAGTACCCTGGATTAGTTAAACCATAGTAGTTATATGTCAGTCGCTCTCAGCATGTATACTTATTTCATAGTAAAAATGCCAAACGTGGAGTTACAATTATAGCAGTATAATTACACTGGTACAATTTCCCAGTTATACTCAAGCATGTGGCTGAATTCCTGTTTTGATCTAAGAGGGCCATTTTTCAACAGCTGATGAGAATTCAGTTTACTTAGGACTGCATATACTTCTCGGTACAAAATATGTACATGGAAATTAAAAAGAAAAACTTGAAAGGTTGTTGTTTGTAGGAGGGTGGTGGGTTAATCAAGAAGAAATTGGATCCAGATTCCTGTTTAAATTCTGGTGTTAATTATGTGGTGCAACTCCCTCTGAAATTAATGAAGCTCTGCATATAAAAAAAGGTACAATTGAGGTATTTCTGCTTCTTCTGTTATACATGAAGGCTCTGCCAGTCTACTATAGCACAGGGAATATTTAATTATTAGTGGGTACAGTTACGTCAGCAACCACTACAGGGGAACTCCAAAACTTTTAAGATGTTGAATAAAATTTTTAGAAAAACAGAAAATCCCTTTTACAAAAGGCACTTAGGTGTCCAGGGCTTTCAGCGAGCATAACACAAAACAGAGTTTAGGTTTAATTTGAGAAATTTGCTAAGTGCCTCATTTAACCTTTAACATAAAACTTTCAAATATGCCTTGGAGGAGAAGTATAACTGTCAAACTGTTCATACAAGACAGCGCCAAAAAATCAGTACTCGCCTAATTTTAGCCATACTGTATAGAGGTAAACCAGCGGCTCTTTCTCTTACCATTTGAAGACAGGAGCGTACAAAAAGGAAAAGCTGCATAAGCCAAGCAGAAAATGATAAAACCAATTCAAATTGTTTCAAGAGTTCAGCTATCGTGCAGAAACTTAAGAGAAAAGTAAGATTACTCAATATATTTTAGAGGAAAAGCCTGAATAGAAATCCTAGGTTCATACTCTCTTGAAAATTTAAGAATCCAGCTCCTGATTTTCCATGCATACGCCATTTAGTCCTCCCACATTCAAACAAACGTTCTCAGTGCATGTTGTAAAATACATTTATATTGTACATATAGCTTTATTACATGATAGCACCTTAAAAGCAGAGATACAGCATTCCTCAAGAAGTATTTAAGTTTCTTTTCAATAGGTGTTTTTAATATCTGATGCTAGTTTTTCAAAGAGAAAAAGCAAAGCCTTTAACGTGACGCAATCTAGATCTTAAATATATCACAAAGAGATGCCATGCCTTAGATACTGACACGTCACTATCTAATCCAACACACTCTTCTTGCCTTACAAGGGTAAGCGTCCAATAGACTTCCACAGTGACAGGAAGAACAAATTCTGGTTTACTCTAATCACTGAATCATTGACATTTAATAAATGTTTTCCATCCTTTGGTGAATCGTTTGATAAATCTCTGAACAGACCTTACTTAAGGTCAAGGTTTTTGATAGCAGGTCACATTCCCAAATATTTGCGTTAATTTCCCCAATTTAACCATAGTAATAATGACAGTGATTTATAATTATTCAGTCGAATAAACAAATGGGCATTTCACATGGAAAACCTTTACAGAAGTGTTCAACACTGTTGGCCTTTCTGAATGGGTTGGGTTTGGTTTTTTTTTTTTTAAATTTTCAGCACTGTCTCAAAGAGACCTATACAAAGCCACGGAGGCAAACGGGAATGTCTCTGATATCTTCACTGAGACTTGGATCTGGCCCAAACCAAATGGGTATTAATGTTGAGTCATGAGAAGTGCTAGAGTCTAACTATTACATGAGCTCATTGTCAGTAATTAACGTGTTTTCTCTTTCCTGCAAGTGCCCATCTCAAACAGAAGATACAGCCAAGATGCTCTATCTGACAACTTTACAAGCTGCACAGCACCCATGCCAGGCAGCCGCTACAAAGAAGAGATTTATGATTCCGGCATCGTGAAACCCAACAAAATAGAAACCAGGATTCAGCCACCTCACCACCTCATTAAAGAAGAAAACAAGTTAGCTTTTAACAGAGACCTACAAGAAAAAATGAGCATTAACGAAAGTTCTTTCTCAAACTCAATAGCTAACTCCTTGCTGCCAAAATCAGAATGTTTCCAGTCTAAAGCTATAGGACAATTAAGTCATCTCCTGCCAATGCCCTCAGTATATGAGCAAACAAGAAGGATTTGTATGAAAGAACCCAAATACGGGCATATTGGTCACCACACTACAAATCTAGATGAACTGGAGAGCGATGAGAGAATGACTGTAAAGCTTGATCATGACTCCGAAAGCGAACGTGTGATGGATGTGAGACCCTCCGGACAAGTTCCATTTGTGCTTTTAAATTATCACCATGTTTTAGCCAAACATGGTACATTTCAAACTTCATCATGTACAGCCACAGGACACGTAGGAGAAAATTACGGATACAATTCTGAGGAAGTAAACACATTTATTTACAAAAACCAAAGCCCCTCATCAGCTTCTTCTCCAGAAACCCACAAGGAATCTGCACTACCCCATTATATTGGAACTTCTGTAATAATAGCCAATGGAAGGTGACGGTAATAGAGGAGTATTTACATTTAATTAAGAAGCCAAACTGTAATGATTTGCAAAACGCATGAGAAAACATGGTTACATTTACTGAGCATAGCTGAAGGTCAATGAGGGGCAGACTCGTGTGTTCCTGGCAAGCCACGTGCAACAGTACCTTCAAGGTCAGGAAAAAACCCTACATCTAGCTTCAGTGCTTCGTTGTCACAGATCAAGCTCTGGTGCCAGTGAGAAGACATGTTACAGATCTTATTTTTGTTATTTTATAGTGTGCAACAAAATTAAATGATAGGTGTTATATGCAGAGATTTATATGAAGAACATTTTTTTCCTTAAGCCCTCCTTCTCAAAATACATTCAAGATTTTTTTATCATTATCATAAACTATACGCTCTAGTTTAGGTATTTTTGACAAACTGTGTGAAACCTTACATCAACTCTCCAGCCACGTGTTAAACATCCTGACAAATGAACTTTGTTTAAAGAGTGGTGACTTTTAGTACCCATAACTCAGCTGTACTAACTAAACAGAACTTTTTTTTGGAAAAAGCTTATTTATTAATTACCCAAAAGTTTTTAAACTAAATAAATCAAACCTAAATTTGATTTATTTAACATAGATTTCAGTGTTCTGAGATTGTTAGCACCACCATTTATCTTGACAAGGAACAATATGACAGATTAATACATACAAAGATACATATTAAAGGGTTACAGGTCTTGTCATGGCAAATTGGGACAAATCACATAGCAGGAACTAAAGACTATTCCCCATAAAATGTTGAAATAAGAAAAAGAAACTTCTAAAACGTGTGTGCCACTGACTATTCTGGGAGAAGGCTGTGCAGATTTTCAAACCAGCTAGTCAAAAATACATCTTAATAACAGCACCAGAGATGTTTTCCTTATAGTCAAGGCAATAATGAATATTTATGCTTTATTTTAAACTTACCAGTAGCCTTCTGAAGTTTGAAAGGTTCAGCTTTTACTGCACTGAACTTCCTTAAGCATAAATCTCATTGTCAACGCAAAGGTAAGGTTAATATTTGACTGATCCGTGCACTTCGCAAATAATGTCAGCGGACAATCCCAATACGGAAAGGCGAAAGTCATTGCACAACCACAAACCCCAAAGTTGCACTTGAAGTAAAGCAGAGTTGGAGGACATTGGGGTTTGGACCGGAACGCTTTGCGCCCATCTCAATTTGTGCTAATAAACTGTAGCAAGTGAAAAGCATACAGCACACACTTATATTTTGTCCAGCCTGTTAGGAATAGCTACTCCCCCGGTTTTACTTCTTCGTAGAGTTTACAAACGAGGAGACATACGTCCCCGTGTGTGTTTAATTGACAAGTCAGTCCACTCTGCTTTTCGACCGCTTCCCCAAACATTGTGGGCTCTGGATAAAACAGCCAATGACTCCCTAAATAATAGCTGTAAATACCAACAATAAAGGTGGTTGTAGAGCTGCGTCAGTTATACTTAGCTATATTTCTTTGCCCAATTCAAGGCTAATTTACACTTTTAAAACTCTCTCTCTCTTATCAGACTCTCTCTAAAGAGACCTTCACTGAAGAAAGCGCTTACCTGCCTTGTGCAATATGGAAAAAGAGTTGCCTGTGGATCGCACCTTGTCAGATAAAAACGTAATGAAACACACGCTTTTAAAAATTACATGTTCTCCATTTTTTATATGCAGCAGTAATATTCAGCCACCTCCTTGTATGCATGAATATTGACTGCTATGAGTACATAAAAATACTTCTAAAACGTACGTTTCAAAACAATTTTCAGTATTTTTATTGCTTCCTATTAAAAGGTTAACAGAGAAGACTTCATTATGAGGCTAAATTGATGTTCACTGGGGAGCTCACAGTTGTCTTTTTTCATTTGCTAAAAAAGCATGAAAAATAGCTTTCGTGGTAAATATAACAAAGAAATACCTGCTCAGCCAGTACCGAGTACTGACTTAAAAAAAAAACACCCTCCCCAGCCAGTACCGAGTACTGACTAAAAAAAAAAAGAGCAGGTCTAGAAGAGCATATTCCCTCACGCAGTGTAACTGCGCCCCTCGGCTCGGCTGACGCTAGAGAAGCGAGCCAGCCTCCAGGAGCGCGAGGAGTGACTGTTAATCGCCATTCGGACGTCAGAAATTGAAGCGATGAGACACAAGTTGGTTTTACAGTGGCTTCGGTTAGTAGCCCTCCAAGCCAGTGTTACTAATAAACGGGCCCAGCTCCTTGAAAGATACAATTATGCTGAGACTGGTACATTACTTTTTTAAAATTAAACCCATGCCCTGTAAAGGAGCAACTGACATTGTTTGCATCATTAAAAAGAAACCTGACACATACCTCTCATACTACACTTTTCTCTATACCTCGTTAGTGGCATTGCTGCACACAAAGTCAATCTGGTGTATTTTTCTGTTCTCATAAGTACTTCTCACTATAAAAACATGTTTTCAGGAACCTACAAATTAGGCTTCGGTTAAAAAAATGCCATTGATATTTTTAAGTAGAATACCACAAAATATTTTTCCAGCGTCTACCTTGTTATTCACACTTCCAGGCTTTATTCAGTGAGGCTGAGCAGAGGAGGTGTTCCATCACTCTCCCGCAGATGTTTTACAGTATGCGATATTCAGGCACGTGAGCTTTCCCTCCTAGGCAATAATGAATCAATTACGCATTCACATATGATAATACCAGGTCGGTTTTAGTAAAGACCTGTGATTAAAAAAGCAAATGTGTGAAACAGTTTTCCTGCCATTCCAAAATAGAAACAACAATTGCATGTTCACATCTGGAACGTGAGTAAATTATACTGAGAGAAAAATAGGACTTTCAGGCAGTTAAACTACGGATGCTCATAGCACACTCGTACTGCAGAATGCGGCACGGCCATTGACAGTGGCGATGTTTTTAATAATTGGAAAAAATTATGTCACAGAAGTGGAGTGTGAATTGGAATATATTATGAAACATAACCTCATTTCTCTCTGCCACCACAGATACCTTTGTCATGCGACTTGATGGGATTTTAACTCTTAGGGGAGTTCAGACCTAGCAAGGAAACGATACGGAGAACGAGGGAGAAAGAGAGCGAGAGGGGGAACACTTTACCAAAATTTAAAGTCGGGAATGTTAATCCCATGTTGAGGTCTCAAAGTTTTTATCCTATTAACAGAAACACTGCAAGGTAAATAAGGTGATCAGGGAGCAGACTTCTCTCCGGGTCGCAGTAGCCCTGTAATTTGAAAAAGGGTATTAAAGTAATTCAGTGAAATGAAGCACAGTGGGCAACAGATGTAAAACTGGGGAATACATCACTGAGAGAAAGTGCAAAGGAATGGGAAACCTGCCGGAATACCAGTATTCCTCTAAAAATCACAAAACAGGACACAAGGATTTTTTTCAACATTTCAGTCATACTTCAAAAACAACACAAAGAAAATTTTATTATTCCATTTTTTCCTGAACATTAGATTTTGCTTTTTTTATATGATGCAGATGAAAGCTATTTGGCAAACGTAGGTGAAAAAGCACGCAAAACAAACAACCTATTAATGCTCAGAATTATATATGTACTCCCTAAAAATGTAAAGCATTTTTGCTTATTTATTATGTAAAACAAAACTGTTAAAATATGAATAAAATCCTGTAGCCAAAGGAAAAGTGCGTTGGATTTCTTTTTTACTACAAAACACAGGGTTTCACAAAGAATAATGTTGCATGTTTGAAACCTTATTTCAATTGTAACACGTACTATATTTGACAGTTAACGTACTATAAAATACAAGGACTTTTTTTTATTTATTGTATTTTAGCCACGTTGCACTTTAAAGGAAGACTCTTGGAGAACGGCAAATAACACAGAATCGCTAATGAGAGGCGCTGATGCAAGACGCTCAAACACGACACCAGTTCACAATTCCTCCCTGCAGTTCTCCTCTCTCAGTTGTGGCTCACCCGGCCGCAGCCTGCGGCGCGCCGTTGTTTTTTGACCTCTGCTCTTTCCTCCGTCCAGATTTAATTTCTTTGGTGCCTGATCAGTGCGGTGCATCGCTGCAGTAACTTCTGCATGCAAATGCTTTTATCGAGCCAGTCATCCCCAGGGAGCGGCTCTTTGCGGCACAAATCTTTTTCACGACAGATAGTAAGCTGTACTTCAATTTTATTTTTTTTTTTACATAGCTACTGTATATTCCACAGCAGTGGCAGAGAGTAATTTTTTAGACTGCTGATGTCTTGTAACTGAATCAGAAAAAGAAAAGAAATTAAAAAGATCGTTGTACCATGAGGCAGCAGCAAAAAGAATTAAATGCTTTAATATTCTTTCTAGGTAATAGCCCTTGAGGTGTATGATACTTGTTGGATATATTTTAAAAAATGCTCTGCAGTCTTACAAAACCTTTTACTAGAGGCGAGATGTACTGCTCTAACTCCTACATGTTAAGTACATTATTACTTTTTCAAATCTTTGGAAACAGCATTGGCGCTGACGGGACACGACCCGCTCGCTCTTTCTCAACACAGCCACGTGCCAACACACCCAGCTTGCTCGGCAGAAGTTTTCCTATCAATAAACAACCTCTACAAATATTTTCACAATGTGTAATGAGAAATGATATAACAGAGTCCAGGAGGAAAGAAATGAAGTCACAGAAATACGGACACCATAATAAATGTTTTTTGAAAGCACTTCATCAAGAAAATAGTTTAAGATATGACATCAGCCTTACAATGAAAGAGGTGTTTTACTAATCTAGACAGTTGAATGAAATTAAGCATTTTCAGTGCATTACTTCTGGATCTGGAGTCGTCCGATTCCCTCCATGCCTATGTCCAGAGACGCTCTGCACCACGTCTGTCTGTCCTACCTGAAGAGCAGCAGTAACAACAATTCCCGTACAAAAACGTTGTGCCTTTCTGGCTGTGCCACGTTTGGCACGCAAAGAACAAGATGGCGGGCTGCGCTCCTCGCCCACCTGCAGGCGAGCGCGGTGCTGGAGGGGTCACCGGCTTTCTCGACGGAACAGCTGCGCCTCAGGAGGGCCGCAGGCAGCTGCCCGCTGTGCAGCCCGAATGGTCTTTGTCAGGTGCTTTGGTTCTTCGGCAGGAAAGGCCAGGGTTGTGACAAACGCTTCGTCCAACTCCAGGCTGTTTCCTCAAGACAACCGGTAGTTCTATACACGCAGAACAAAAAGCAGAGGCAACGGGGCACGTTCCCACAGCACCCGCCTGCGCTCCGACACGCCCACGCTGGGTTAGTTCTCATTTGCAGAAAGGAAGCGCAACACGGAGTTTCATTCCAGTGCAAAAATTTTTGGAATAATCTTACAACTCAAAGTGAGAAGAGAACAAGCTTTTCTTTAAGAAGGCTATGACGAAACCCAAAAGGAACAATAGCAACCAGGAAATATTGCTGCGTTTTACTATTAAAAAATCCATCTGCCTGCTGCTCAGACGCCGTGGTAGCGTAGCCGAGTGAAGGTCTGCAGGTCCATTCTGCCCTTCTTCATACCGGAGCAGGTTGCGTCACTTCCCCCCGTCACTCTTTTACAGTATTTGTCCCTAGCGAAGGGAGAGCGTGTTTTGAGGAAGCAATTCAAGTCAAAACCTGATGCGTGACCTGGCCGTTAGAAGAAATCCCTACAGGCGCTCATCAGTCTATCTGGAATATGAGCGCAATCAAAGGTGCTCCCTACAGGCACGCCCCCCGGTACCAAAACAGAGAGAGTGGTTTAGCTGCAAGTATGGGACTGAGGTACGGATGTAAAGCTTTGCAAAACTCTGTGGTTGGAAGAACAGCACCAGAGCTGCGCTTGCCACAGCTGACCTGCAGCAGCATGCGTTGCTCATAAGCTGCTTGAAGGAAAAGGTAGAAAAGAAGCGAAGGAGCACAGAGATGTGGGTGTGCACATGCACACACACATTTTTTATATATGTATATATAAATGGGCTCTTCTTTTTATTTCAACTTTGTTAACTTGGACTCAAGTTTCATTTATAATATGCATCAATATTTGATTCTGAAATAGAGGTAGCTGCCAAAAATTAACAGCCCAAAGCAGTTTTGAAAGCATCTGGTGGGAAAAAGCAAAAACTGGTGTTCATGTGTGTCATTTTAACTATGCCAATTAACAGCTGTCTACGCTCCACTGTACAGTTCTATGAAATATTGGTGTGCAATCTCATCTGATGCGGATCATGGGGGAAAACAAAACAGCAGGGTACGGACAATCAGGCACACAGACAAATCTACTGTGATATGGAGCATAAAATCCCAAATGTAACAGGGACAACTTAATTTCTAGCACTTGCTGCCAAACCACCTAAACCCTAATATGTGAGGATTACTCTAAATTACCATTACAGACTAGCTTCCTTGTTTTAAGACTTCTTGGCTTTGTAACTGAAACAATCTCCTAACATGTTCAGATTGTTTATGAGGTGAACTTTAACCTAAATAACCCATTTCTGGCTAGTAGACAGAAGTCCTTTGTGGAAACCAATTTGGCTGATCCACCTTCAGTAGGGACAAGGTAACGTAATAAGCAGCGCTGCCCACTTGAGGAAATGAAGCTGGCCACATCACACCTACGACAAACTTTTCATTTGCAGAGAACTGTTTGAAGTGCTGTGGTGGCCAAGCCTCCTGGTGCAAATACGCCTTGCCCGGGAGAAAAACCCGACGAGCTGCCATCGCACGGGAGCTCCCACGTGCCTCCTCGGCGCTGCGTTCCAGTCGTGACCAGGCCGTTACATCTAACCTGGCACCGCGCAGCCGGCCCCCAAAGCCAGCTGCTTTCAGGTCAGCAGATGTTAAGCCTCTTGCTTTTAATGGTTAGCAGCAAGACCAGATGGTCTTCTTTGGGGAAGGGGGTGACAACAGAAGCAACGGAAGAGAATTTGGACGCAGGTTAACGACGTGTTTTCTCTTTTTCACTGTAGTAGTTGTTTACAGCAGTGATTTTAAAAGCGGGCGTTTTTCTCTTATTTATTCGCTTAACTTCACTACTATTACAATAGAATTACTATAAAATTGTATACTATTTAGACTTCCCTCTCCTGACACGGGATTCTACAACAACCTGGACAAGAGGATTGCAACCAGGTGATACGCTGCTCCAGTGGGCTATTCTTACAAGGGCTAAGGCCTCTTCGAAGGCTACGATTCAAAGGAGATACGAGATGATTTACTCAGATCCAATTGACTAAGAAGAGCAGAGTACCAATAATTTGGATCACCAACCACAGTTCTGAAGTGCTGATGGAAAACTCCCCAAAAACTCAAGGCAGCCATGACAGAGTTGCAGACCTGAGACCAAAGCACAGGACGGTAAACTGTTGCACAGGCCCACGTGGAGAACCAAATCAGCAAGGCTTTACTTAGATCTGAATCTAAACACAGCGGTAATGCCAGTAATTCAGAAATATATGATGAGCTCTTCCAGCTGTTTCCACCGCAGACAACGCATAAACCAGAATTTAGTTTAAAAAAACATAGTAAAAATGTAAATATTGTACTGGCTTGTGCTAAGGCACAATAAAACACAGAGCCACTTCCGTTTCTCAAATACAGTGTGTAATTGAAGAGAAAGTTCTGATCATTGCAAGGTATTCCTTTGCAATCAGGCTCCTTTTAAAGAATAGATGCTTACAAAGAATGACAACATAGATGTGTTTTAAAGTTAATATGAAAGAATAAAGGCCTTCAGCAATGAGAGAATTACCTCTTCTTAACTGGTGAAGTTATCCACGTCAAAGAACAAAGATATCAGAAAATCAGAAGAAAAAAAAAAAAAAAATCAAGCCATCAACTACCCTTCCCACCTTTAAGCAAGTTTAGCTGCTTGGTGCCAAATACTAAAGAGCCTCCTTTTGCGCTGCGAGCTCTGAGGACTATGAATGCTTTGGGACTATGAGGTTTCTCAGCATGTCAAAGGAGTTGCCGTCTGGGTGCACAGACACTACACCCTTGCCTTCTTCATGGACCTGAAGGAATCCATAATCATCTATCCCGACTATCCACGCAATTGGGCCCTCCTCATTGTGGAGATGGACTTGCTTACCACTGCAAATAAAGAGAACCAGACAGTTAGGAATTAAGTGGTGGACACTGCACAAACGATTAAAAATAGCTTAGAGGACTAATGTCTAGCAGAATATTTTTATTTCCCACTTCACTGCTTCTTTACAGAGAATGATTTTCAGCAGCGTTTTCTACCTACTTTAATTTCTTTCTGTGGAATTACCAGAGTTGGAGTTAATCCAAACAGTCTATTTTTTTGTAGAAGACATGAGTACAGCAGCTTCATCACTAGCTAAACAAATCATTCCCAATTCCCTTTGTTTCGAGGTGATCCATGTAAAATACCGAGAAGCATTCTTTAACTCATGCTAGTCCATTGATCTTACTACTTGCCGTTTTTATTCTCCCTTAAAAAAATTACATCCTACTTGGGAGTATATTTTAATTAAGTCACTAGTTTTAAAGGCAATCTAGTAGAAAAAGTAGAAAAAGACAAAATACCCATGAGTTCTTTCCAACTTTCTTAAAAGAAAGTTCGAGAAGAACACTATACTTACCTGTGTACCCAGTACTTGTAGTAACGGGGGAGAACTCCGTTGGGCCCTTTCTCCTGAAAAATATCTACAAGCCTCTCTAGCACAGTTACAGTTCTTGCAATAACACAGTCTGTAGTTAAAGCCTTCAGCTTTGTCCCCTCTTCTTTATTAAATTTCGCAATGAGATCATTGATGCATATGGTGGGGTTGCTGTTATTCACATTAATTCCAAAGCCTGAAGAAGACAAATCAAAAGAAGAGGACAGGATGTGTAAATACAAACGCTTTGTAACCACCAGAAAGTCAGTACTTTATTCAACTACTTGGTACAATTATCTCTAAGGATGTTTCCAGTAGCTGTTTTCTTCAGTCTTTTACACCTTTAAACCTTCCTACTTGCATATTTACAAACCACAGTCCAGATTTTACTTGTTTCGTGCCCTTAAAACGTCTCCTCAAAATTGTAGAAGCAAATCCAGCGCAGTGCTTTCAACAACACACCACCCTATCAATGAGGCTTAGGAAGCCAGTAAGTTGTAACTTGCACGTTGGTTACAATAACATCAAAGTGAGAAATTCTTTTACTCCCTAGAAGCTGACAGGTCATTAGCTAATTGAGAGTAAATCATTGATCATACTCTAAGACAGAGTTTTATCTTTCAGTCTAACATTTAATAAAGAGACCTTTCTGTTTACTACAGTTAGATGATTGCATTTTCTGAAAATTAAGCCTTTTTTACTCAGCTGATAAGCCTTGTTTGGCTTGCTCTGAAAAACCCAGAAGACTTAAGTTAGCTGCGTAAGCCTCCAGTTTGCTTAATCTGTCTTTCCACAGCATATCCTTTAGAAGCCTCAAGTCTCTCACTGAGATTTCTCCAGCTAGAATAACGTTGGCAGAACGCCTTTCTTATTTAAATATGGCTCTTGGGGCCTTTTTTGCAGCCTGCTGAAACAGGCTTCGAGGGATGTAAAGAAATATATTGTATTACCTGTTTATTTTTTTCTCCTAATAATTTGGATTTTTCTTTCCTCAGACATTTGGGATAAAACCCCAGTCTGTCAGTCAGGTTTAGATATGATACACCTCCATCTGCAAGAAGGTCCAGATGCACTGTTTTGTAAATTTGCTATTAGTGAGACTGTTCATGTATGGAAGTAATTCATATTAACTATGAGGAGAAAGATCTCTTCAGTGAAAAGGAGTTTTTGACTTTTAACTAGTCAGAGAATGCAAGCAAAGAAAGCCACAGTACCAATACATAGATCCTATGGAATTGAGGAGAAATGTATTATCAGACAGAAACAAAGGAAAATGAACTGGAAAATCTAATGTGCCATGCCAGCAAATCCCAACTCGGCTGGTTACACTCAAATACAGTACAAGTGAAGAGAGAGTGACCGTGGCCACTATCCTGTGATTGGTACTGTCAGGGTGCATAACGGGGCCTTGGAGTCCATCTGCAGGCTCAGGGCACTCAGGTGCGTATGTATGGAGATCAGTACTTAGCCATCCAAAAACTGAAACGGACACGAGAGACATACTGAGATGACAAGCTCAGCTGAGGCAGAAGCATCTGGGGATAAATGCGGTGGCAAAAATGTAGCCAGCTAGTTTGAAAAATATTAGGTGTTCAGGACTCTTAGGGCATCTCTGCATTGTCCATGTGAGGAGAGTGAAAAATAAACATCTAGCACCGACCTTGCAGCGTGCTGATGTGGCTAATACATCTTCCAGTTCCAGGGCTAGCCCTGCCTTCAGCATCTGTGCGCTGGTCGGACGTGCCTTAGCTGCATGCAGAGGCAGACAGAGCTTTTGCAGGTCAGGCACGTTGGCTGTCCCTTGCATTCCAGTTGTGTTTGGCTACCTACATCTGTTCTGAGTCTGGCCCTTACATTAATGACGTATATTCTTCTGCAGAACTCTTCTTCCAAAAGTCCTGCAATAATTAAGTTCTTAAAAAAAGGTTTTCAAAAACATGTTTAAAAGTATGAACGTGAACTGTGTCATCTGTGAGGCCTTGAGCACATAGTACAGGTGAAAAGGCAGGTTTGTGCCTTAATCTTCTGTGGTACTTCTCAGAGCAGTGAAGCCATGTAGATGATCTTTGATTTTGATCATTTCCCTCATATATAGAATACTCTTCGTGAGCGTCATGTAAACAGTGAGGTCTAGGAAAGGAATCTCCATGACTGTAGAAAGGGGATGATGCATCTGGCTTACCTGTCCTGTTACAGAAGTTTGATCTCGATGCTACTACTAATACAAGAAGTTAGACCTACGACTCTCAGTGACATATATCACTGAAATGATGAAAAAGATCCTTTGATCCTATATGGCAAGTAACTTGCAACCTTAGAAGCTTCCAGACAAAAGAAAGTTGATGAAAATGTACATCTTTGTATATACTCCAGACCTATCACCACCAAGATGACCCCTAGGGACATCTGAGAGAATGCATACAGAAAGTTTCCATTTTAATTTGAATGTTTTGGTGTTTAGGATAAGAAACACGAGGTCCAAAACTAATACGTGATGTGCAAAGAGATGTTTGATAAGATGAACTATTTTTGGAGCCATTTTTGCTTTTCTTGTGTTAACCAGAACAGGCTCTGGAAAAACATATGGAAGCAGTAAATGGTTGATGGGGCACAAAGAGGCTCTCTTAAGTGTCTCGGTGCAACTTCCATTCTGTACATGTAGACTATTTACAAAATGAGAATATAACAATTGAACAAAAAATTTAATGGCTGGGCATGTTTCACAGAAGGAGGTGATGACTACTTCAATCGTTTTGCTTGTTCGTGCCTTAGAATTTACAGCACCTTGACAGAAACGATATCATGCCCACACGCCCTTTGCAAGATACTTTACTTATTTACTGTGCTATGTTCAAATATAAACCAAATCTTATAATCTTCTTCTTTAACCTTTTAGACTTGCTAAGGAACTTTCACTTAATTTTTTAGGCATAGCACAGATAATTATTTTTGGAACCAGAACCTAGATCTCTGCTGGCAGGTTTCTAAGCACGACTGACAGATCTGTGCTGCTGCTGGTTAGGGGAAAAATTTTCCTTAACAAATAGCAGGATGATTATCAGACTTGAAACAACAGAAACATCTCAATACTTATTGTGTGCACTTAAATGTCTTCTCCTGTTACAGCACTGGGACTTGCTGGAAAATACATGTACAGCCTTTTTGAGACTGGCCATGCTACCTTTTTGGAAGCACCCTTCCAGGTAGACTGTTCGTCTTCACAATAAACAGATTGTCGCTCCTTGCTCCCCCATCCGGCCTTCCCAACTACTTAGCAAATTTTACTTTTTGAGAGAACTAAAGAAAGTGATTAATTAATCAAATCATTACTTCACTGCTGCTTCACCAGCAACACTCCAGTTTCTAGAAAGGTATCAACAGAAACAAGTTATGAATAAATTTTAAAAAGATGAAAGGAGAAATTAGAACATTACTATGTGTATCGTAGCTATTTTTCTCCCAATTTAAAAAGTACGTTATTTATTTAACTATTTGTCATGTTGCAAAAAAATAAAAATTGAAAAAAATGGATACATTTTTCAATATATTCTACTAGTTTTGCAATAGATCAAGGAGGACATTTTCCCTCTCTCCTGCAATGCTCTTTCTTTGAACTCCACTACACCAGCCCAGATGCTTGCATTTATGTTTTCCTTGTCAAGCATATGGAATTATTAAGAAGAATGAAAACATTTACTTTTTGTCCTTCCTTTTGATTTAATATTGTGCTTTATTTCCTTATGCCAGCTGTCACTATTTGTTCTTGTCCTTATCATTTGAACTCATAAAGACATTAACAACAAATTTCTTTAGAAAAAGACAGTATGGAAAAGTTTGAGAATAGACATTTACCAATAAGTACATGAAATGTTGTTTCAATAAGCGTAGAGTTTACCAGAACTCCACCAAGCTTCATAAGATCGCTGTAGTAAATATCATTTGGCCATTTTACTCGCAGATCAATATCCTAAAGAAATAAAAACATACATTTAGAAACACTTTGCTCTTCGATATCGATTATAAGAACATGGCTCATTCATCACTCCATATTCTACATTTTCTGTACCTCTTTGCCACACTGAATGTGATACTGTCAACTGTTCTTCATAATGAGAACCTATTTAAGTGCTCCACAAATGTACTGAAAAAGTCATAGTAACATGGTTACATGGTTTACTAAGGAGGTTGGCAGCTGTCAGAGAAAAAAATAAAAATAAAAAAAATTATGGCAGATAATAAAGGTTTAGAGCGATCAGAAGGAGGACTAAAGATACTAGAGATTTTCAGTCTCAAAATTGTGAGGTTTTATAGAATTCATTTCCTTCATTCATGAGTGCCTATTAAAGATTTAAAAGATCTATTCAAGAAAGATGCAAACTGTGGCAGCCACTGTGGCTTACTGCTGATAAACAATCAGGGTAAGCCCACAATAACATCAACACCATACTTGAGGATCCTTGCAGAAAGCAAACAAGGAGACAATGACATCTTGAATTTCAGAAAGGAAATTTAGCAGACAGGAGAAATTCCAGTTCACAACTATGTAAATACTTCAGTAACGTCCTAAATATATTCACGCTTTCGGCAGCTACGCTCAAGCAACACCATGGAGCTGGAAACACAAACTGCGCTGTGTGACACCATTCCAGCGCAATAGAGAAGTTTTTGTTGAAACCACAGATCTGAACTGAACTTTGCACCGGCTACTTAAACACAAAAAGAAAGCAAATGTGCTTCCTGTAGTTTGAAAAACTGCATATGACTGTATCCCCAGAGGCAAATTATGGGAGGTGCTCCAGGACTACAAGAGTCGCATTCCCTCCTATTGTAGATTATGAAATCCCTTTACAGGATGTGTGAAAACTGCACCTGGGTCCATGTCTACTTTTCTGACAGATTTAAAGGCCAGAAAGGAGTCCATTACACGTACATTGACAGGAAATACTACCTGATTTTGCTATCAAAGCATTCTAAGAGAGAGTATCACCAATTCATATTCATTATGGAAAACAACTTGACTCTTCACACTGGGAAAGGATTTATAGAAGACTCTCGAGACATGCGAAGAATGACACAGTTAAACAGTATTATCAGTGTTAAGAGATCTTCCGAAGAGCTACTCAGTAGATCTTATTTAAGGAAAACATACACCTGTAAGACACCAGACACTAGCTCTGCAACTGAAGTGACAGCAAGCATGAAGAACAACCAAGTCAACTGGGTATTCTCATGATGTAAACTACACAGCGGAGACTTTGCCACAAAATGGAGTTACGAGGTACTGCACAACTATCTGCGTGTCAAAGAAACGATGGGCTTCACAAACTATGAAGGAAATGGAGCACTTCTTACCTTCACTTACTAGAGAGAGATGTCTGCTGTTCTCAGAATGGGAAAGCAAAGCACTCTCTTGATATAAGGCCCATTTGCATTTGCAGCACTAACATCTGACAGCAAAACTTCCAATTGAGCGGTCAGATTTTCTGCATGAGGACCCAGAACAAAGGCCTCCGTCACTGCCTGTTTAGCACAGTCAGCATTCGTGGCAATCCTAAAAATGATGACTGACCTGAGACACAGGTATTTCAGATTTTTGAAGGGAAATCCTGAAATGGACTTTGAGCATAGCAAACGACATTACGGTGTGTTAAAGTATTATTGAGATTCTGACATATGGCCACAGAGGTAAGGAAATTTGAAGGAGAGAATGAAACCTCATCTATAGATTAGCCCATTGTTTGCAGCTACTGCAATTTGCATAACACGGATGTTCATCTGACATAAAGAAAAGCCCTGCATTACCTAAGTCTAAAGGGGAAATGTAAGCATTGCGTTTCTGATAAATCTTTTCATTTCCTTGCTTTAACGTATTTGAGTGCAGCCCCTTAACATTGCTGTCACCCGTTGTCTAGGGTGGACGTACTGTTAAAGACATTCAGTAGCTCTGTCTTGGTCATAGCGAGCTATGTATTGTACATGTGCTATGTACAGTACATGTACTATTGATACATACTGCTTTTATATTATTATTTTGGACTTCACTCACCTTTTTCCTCTTGAATGGAATAAAATAAACCACGCCACAGTATACCAGGGTAGGTGTACAGAAGCAAAACCACCTCCATCATAAATTAACTCCTTCCCCAGTCAGACTCATATTTTATAAAACTAACTCTTGTCCCTTCTATTTTAAATGGTTAAATTATTCACTCTAGCCAAATATTTTATATTGCAAATTTTAGCCTGAAGCATTTTGTTTTTATAGTCAAGTTATGAAGCACTCAAGTTAGAAGGTTTTAATAGAAAGGCTGACAGACCCTAAACTACAGCAAAGCTACTGGGTGCCACTATAATAAAGTTCATGTGTAAATGTGTATAAGTCATTGATTTTCTGTAATATAGGAAACATATGCTTTAGTTAACTACTTCTGTAAAATACCAAAGTTTTATAGTTAGCAAATATTAGGAAATGGTAACATTAAAAAGGAGATATATGAGGTGATGAAGAAGACTGGTTCTTCATTTTAATACTGATGACAGGACACTTGATTCCCTCTTGAGAGCAATACTCCTAAGTTCTTGCTTTAGAAATCAGTTTTCAACCTTAAACAAGGGTTGGAAAAATCCTTTAAAAGGGATAAAGTGACCACTGAAACAGCACCAACAAAAAAAGCAGAAAAGGATTTGTCAGTTTTATTCATTTTTCCCTCCTCCCTCTTCCCCAGCTCCTTCAAAATCAAAACAAATTAACTCAATTGTTAGACAAACAAAACTGACGTTTTCTTTACGGCTGAAGACTGAGTCTTAAGTTTCATAAGATTATGAATGAAATGAGTGTAGTATACTTAATCAGGTCAATAAAAGACAGTATTCATCATATGTGTACTAGATTTCTTAAAACATATAAATAATCAAGCATGTATGAAGGCTAAGTTTACCACTGTATTAGCGCTGAAGAACTACATTATGCATTCAGTCATTCAACGCATAGAAGACATAGTTAAAATCTGAATTTAATGAAAATGGAAACAGGAATTTTGAGATAAATTAGAATGACATACCTCATATCCTGGTATTGATCTAACTGACTCTACCATTGCCAAGGACACTAGGTGTTGAATAAAAGGAATTCTCTGGCCCAGGTTGGAATGTAGAGGAATGGTGATATGTAAAGTGGATAGTGCACAGCCCACGGGACTGAGCCAAACATTTCCACCACGGCCTGAGGACGGAAAGAATAAAAGTTAAATTCAACTCAAGAAAAAAAATATTTATAAAAAAGATCACTTTGTTAATGTAACAACTACAAAAGAGAAAGATTCAGTAGTATTCATCCAAGAATCTCCCATAAGTCCTGTAATGGAGTTTCCAAACTAATTTTGAAGGAAAAATGGTTAAAGTGCAAAGCTTTTTCTTTAAAAAATCAGCAGGTTGTTTAATGTGCATGCTGCTACTCGGTTTCCTAGAATGTCCTAAATGACTTGCTTCCAGGATTTTCTTGGTATCTGGTAACATACACATTTCAAAAAACCTTGCTTTGTTTAAGTGAAGCAGTATTTGTGAAGATGCTCTGTGTGCGTCTAGAAATCCGTCCACATTAGGAATCAACTCGACACAAGCTAGATCTGTACTGAAAGCCAGGTAACCATCTTCTTGTAGATCTGTGCTCAGAAGAGCTTATTAGGCTGGGCACTGTGTTCTAATAAAATGAACGTGGCTTTTAAATCAGTGCTAGCACCTTCCTGGGAAAGAGACAGAACTTGCTCATATTTATCTACAAAAGACTGTGAAAGCCCACACGACAGTTCAGGCAGGTCCTGCAGACTCAAGAAACCTCTGTCTCGGAGCAAGTCAAGACCCAGTCTTGTTCCAGTTAAGCCGAAAAGGAGTTCTGATTTGGAAGTCTGACTTGTATTACACTAAATGTAGTGATGGCAGTTTCCATGACTGGGGAGACTTTTGGCAGAAACTAGAAGACCACTAAATCATTTCTGCAAAAGCCACCAAATGTCCTGAAAATGTTTACTTTGGTCTCTATTAACTTAGGTTTTGCGTTTGAATCCACGGTTCAAGCAGGAGGAGAAGACGACACGATTATTCTATAGATTATATTATCAAAAATACTCATAATGTATCTTTAAGGCAGCTAGGTGACATTAAAATGTCCTACTTCATATGTTTAATACACATTTATTAGCACTAGAAGGAAACTTACCTTTCCCTTGTGTTTGTTGAACAGCAATTGCTATTAAACCAATCTCCTCAGGCAACTCGAACATTAACCTGCCAATTAGGAAAAAAAAAAACCCCATGCTTATCAGCTGGAACACTAAGCTACATTCATGAAAATCTAGGCTTAAATATCAGGTAATATTTTATGTTAACATTGCACTACCATTTATCCGTTTTCAGTTAACATTTATTCTTGACCAAAAAGCATTAGAATATTAAAAAAAGATTAACTGAAAAATGATCATGTAAAACATTATTATATCTATTACGCTGGAAAAAGTTATAGCCGTAGTTCATTTAAGGTGCCTTCTGATAACATACGTTTTGTATTTCTTCCTGTTTTCTTGAAGTGCTTATTTTTTGCGTGTCACTATCTTCAGTAAGTGACAACTAGCAATTCTAGACATTTGTTTCTACTTATAGCAAATTTTTGTTCATACTACAGAATATAAGAGCAGCAGTTTCTGATTATTTAGAAAACCAATATGGTGGCAATAAAGCAGTTTAAAAGATACACTATCCCCTGAGAACTAATTATGATTTAACTACAGTAAATAAATCTACACCTTCTGAGAACTCTAGAGAACACTGGCTTATTTTAGGCTTGTGTTCTGCTTTTAAAATAGTTTCACTTAAAAGAATACTAACTTTCCTCTGGGGATAAGTAGAAAGTGCACTTTAACACCACCAAATGAGTCAATGCTAGACTTGAAAAAAAGAAGAAAAAACCCTACTGTGAGAACTTCGTTCAAGCCACTTTAGAACAGATCTGAACTGTACTACGATCCTCCTCCATTTCACATTTTCAGGAAGAGTTATTTAACAGATAAAAGAGATATTCAGGATGTTGCCAGCAAGGTAAACCCAGAAAGAGATTTATAGCCTACAAACCTACTTCTAATATGGGCACAAATATCATGTTGTTCATTCATATAAAAGCGATCTTGTCTTGGAGATAAGTGCAGTCCAGATCAGCAAAGAGTACCGTTCAAAATTATTTCCTCTGAATTTCAGATATGTATGAAAGGTGTTTCAAGTTCTGCAATCAAGCACGTATCACTGGGCAGCAGATACCAGCTGCAAGCAGAAGCGTCCCCCCGCCGCTCACAGACATGCGACAGCTAAGGCACCATCAGGCCAGCGGCAAGCTAAGGAACTGTCCATCCCTCCTGCTTCACAAGTTGAAAAGCAAGGCGTCAGCAACTCTTGGGGCTGTATCGGTAGCAAAATACAAGTAGGATCCCCCCAAGGTTTCAGAGTATCTTTCAAATGGCTGACTTGCTTTCATGGTGATCACAATGGGAGGCTATTGGAGGGCCCAAGCGAAGTCTGGACCACAAATGCCTTCACTAATTAGAAATGCTTGAACCCAAACTGACGGAAGCCGTAACAGGCCCCACGATGTTTTCCCACATTACTCCTGAATCAGTGAGATGTTGTCAAAGAGCAATACCCAGATGATCTCTTTGCCAGTCCCCTTCCAGTTCACGTGAAATACAGCTCAATAATTCTTTCCTTTGGACCCTATGGATTACACACTGAGACCAGGCTCACCTATCTATCACCAACCTTTAACATTAAAAATACACCTCTTCTTATGCTGGGACCTAGGGGAAAACCCTCTGTAGCTCTTTATGCCCATGAGGCTTCAGCCCTGTCTTCTGGGAACAGCATGATTTCAGTTACAGCACCAAGTTCATGGTTCTGCAACATGAAAATCTAATTTAGATTTGGAAGCACAGTTAGGAAGAGATCACAGGCTTTGTCGAAATACACTGATTTCTGTTGCTTCTCCATTTACATATTTGTTTTTAAATAGGGGGAATAAAAAAGTCATGTGCTGCCATGATGGGAGGAAAATAATCAGAGCCACGATGGGAGGAAAATAATCAGAGCAGGAAAAAAGTTAATTATGAATCCAAAACACAGGCTTCTAGAACAAAGAGATATGATTAACAGAACATATGAATGTAGCTATTAGAGGCTTGGCAGCAGGTAACAACATATTAAATGCAGAGACTGAGTTTGTACTTTTAAGGGCCATGAAGAAATTCTTCAACGGACACAACATGGGGAAGTTGTTAATACCCAGACTGATACAGCAAGAGACAGACAGATTTATTTTTACTGCTTCCTGAGATTGTGCTGGAATTACCATGAAGCTTATGATAATAAAAAACCCCACACAACCGCCCCCCAAAACTTCAGAGCTTTGTAAATTGCGTGTGCTTGTTAGTTTTTTTCTGGGAGAAACAACTTGGATTTTCCTTACCAGAAAGAGTAACTGTACGTGCACTTTTTTACATATTGACTTCCCTTCTTTTCTTTCAACTTAATCAGTTGCAGATTTAACGATTTCATTTTTCTGCAGAACGACTTAATCACAGTGCTCACCACATTTTTTCCCCTGAAATTTTTTCCTTCAAGAAATTCTGTTCTTTTTTGTGTTCTTTAACTAACTTGGTCTACATATTAACTCAAAAGACCACACTGAGATACAAGAGTAGAGAAACATGAAACGTCTTGAAGACAAATTTAACCATCAGGAAGAATATCAGATGGCACCTATATGATTGTAGAAGATGATGTGAGAATTTTGTGTAAATTTTTCTCTTCTGCTTTGAACATTTTTGTGGTATTTTCCAAAACGTGAGCAAGGCACTTTTAGTATTCAAGAATACTAAACCAGCTGAAATATTAAAAGAGAGATTCTATAATTTTTTATACAAATACCCTCCCCCCTGCCCTGTAGCGCATACTACGAATGCTGTCAAGAGTAATAAAAAATACTTAATTGTTTTATAGACATTTCAAGTCTAAGGAGGCCTCTGTCTTCATGCCTAGTCAACACAATGACTTTTCTTCCTACACGAACATAAAATGGGAATTGAAACCACAAAAAACTATGTTTGAATAATGTTAACGGCCTGACAACTATAAATTTCATTGATGTTGTGGGTTTAAGGTTGAAACTCTCATTAATGCATCCTGCTGTGTTACAGTATTGCAGAGGTACTGCAACAGGCAGCATTACATTCCAGATGTTAAAATACCTGGGCACAAGAGGGTAAGTTATGAACAGATTTCTCCCTTCGCTTCAAGCTCCTTGTCTGAAAATCTCACTCTCAGATATCTTGTTTATAGAGTATTATAAAAGCAACATTAAAAAAACCTTTCCATTTTTAGTCAGATGGAAAGGAACATGTCTTCTGACCAGTTTCTTGTATTATTTTGGACAAAAAGGTGCCCTGAACACTTGCTTTACTACTTTATATCTACTGTTTCTGTCCATTATGTCCAATGGGAAAATGAGCAGTGTGCCTACTAACATTTTTCCTAAATTCTCCTCTGTTGCCCTCCATCTCCTTTTCATAGCCCTCAACTGCACGATGCTGTGTCTGATTCCAGGCTCTGTGTGCTGAATGGCCTGCCGGAGGGCGTGCTGGCCAAGCAGAATAGGTAACTCTTGAGTCCACACTGCAGACTCCTTGGTGGCAGCACTGATCTGGGTCTCTCTCTCCTACCTGGAAGCCTGTTTCCATGAGAACATGAATACCTGAAGGAGCTCAAAGATATGAAGGTCTTCTGTAAAACAGGCAGTAGACTGACTGAGAGCTGGTGGGCCACAATCAGAGAAGTCACCAAGAATGACATCATGGTGGGATTCTGTTACAGATCACCTATTCAGGAGGAGGAAGTGGAAAAAGTCTTTTTGAGCAACTTGAGGATGTCTGCAGATCACAGATCCTGATTCCTATGGGAGACTCCCATCTCCTGATATCTGCTGAAAGGCAAACAAAGTGGGATGCAAGCAATCCAGCTGACTTGTGAGGGATGCTAGGGACAAGCTCTCAACACAAATATCAGATGATCAACTGGAGTGATCGACTCCATCTGCTACAAACAAGGGAGAGCTGACCAGGGAGGTGGTAATCTATGGCAGCTTTGGCCATAGCAACCATGAACCAATGCTGTTCAAGATCCTGAGAGGGATGAGGAAGGCACATAAGAGAGCACAAACCCTCGTTTTCACGAGAGCAGAATTCAGTTTATTCAGGGGCTTGACAGATGGGATCCTATGAGAGGCAGCTCTGAAGGGCAAGGGAGCTCAATGGACCTGGTCTTTAAAGACAACCTCCCACAGACACAATAACAGTCCATCACAATACTGAGGAAAATAAGTAGATGAACAAGGAGTCTGGATTGGCTAAAAAGGGAATTCATGACTGTAAAAAGAATGTACAAAAGAGACGGAAGCAAGGAGAAATGCCACACGGGAGAAATGCAGAAACATTGTCCCGACAAGCAAAGATGTTAGGAAAGCTGAAGCTCAAGTATAGTAGAGATTGGCAAGAAACATGGCAAGAGGAACTTCCAACTGCTACATGGTAAGAATAAACAAGGAAAATGTGGGCCTGCAGCTGACTGAGGAAAAAGCACAGTGGACACACATAAGGCTGAGATACTCAATGCGTTCTTTGCCCCAGTCTTCATGAACAAGGCCTCCCAGGCTTTTACACATACAGACAGGGTTCAAGGAGAAGAGGAAACACCAACAGCAGAAAAGGATTGATCTTATAAATCTCTTGAGAAACCTTGACTCATACAAGTCTATGAGGCAGATGGGACGCATCTGAGAGTGCCGAGAGAGCTGGCTCATGGCACATCAAGGCTGTTTTCTACCATCATGGTCATGGAGATCACGGGAAGTCCCAGATGAATGGAAAAGGGCAAATGTTGCAACCATCTTCAAGATGGTCTTTCACAGCATCCTTGTATCCAAGTTTGGCCATTGTGGTCTAGATGGATGCACTACCAGATGAGCAAAAGGTGTCTGGATTTTGGGATTGAAAAGTAGTGGTTTGTACTCTACCTATAGGCTGGATACAACAGCAGTTCCTTGGGGGTTTATCCTGAGACCTATCCTATTTAATATCTTAATATCTTTACCAATGACCTGTAGGAGGAAATGGCATGCACATTAATCAAGTTTGTGAATAACATTGAACTATGAGGATAACTAAGCATTGGAATAGGATGCCCAGAGAGGC